GTGCATTGAGCATTGACCCCCCTATACAGAATTTTATTGTTGTTAACAACCATTTGATCAATAAATATGAGAGATGCCCTCTCAAAAAAAAAAACAAAAAAAACCCCACGTTAAGTATGGGCTCAACATATTCACGACACAGCGTGTGGCGGGGAAGCACACAGGCGAGTCATCTTACCCCTTACCACCCCTCGCCCCTTCCTGTCTCTACCTCAGCTGGCACTGCTCTCAGAAGTCATCACCATGCGTTCTCAAGAATTAAAACATGGCTTTAAGATTATCACATACACATGGTACAAAACTAAAAGTTATGGGGCTCAACAGTGAAAAGCCCTGGTCCCCAGCTTCAGCGGCATCCATGGTACCGATTTTCTGTTTGTCCTTCCAGAGATAAGGACGTGCACTCATACACATCACAGAGGCTTTCACAGAGCTTTGCTCGTTCCATTTAATGATTTACCTTGGAGAACATTGCACCCTAGAACAGAAAGCTCATTTCATTTTGCGGCTACACAGGCGTCCTTATGTGAGAACATCATAATCCGTGTGACCAGTCACCTGATACGAGTCATTTACAATGTTTTCAATCTTTTGGAATTACAAGTAGTGTTCCAGTGAACCAGCTTGTGTGGATTAGTCCTACGGTAAATACCTTGAAGTGGAATTCCTACATCAATGGGTGCATGCCATCCCCCCTGCCCACCTTTACGCTACCAAATTGGTCCTAGAAACCCACTTTAAATATAAGGACATAGCTAAAGGTTAAAAAGAAAAAAGAAAAAAGATGCCATGCTAACACTCATTAGAAGAAAGCTGCAGTGGGTATATTAGTATCAGAAAAAATTCATGGAACATTATCAACAATAAAAGGATTAATCATTAAGAAGATACATAATCCCAAATGTGTATGCACCTGACAAGAGAGCTTCAGAAATCATGAACAGGAGCTGGTAGACTGAAGGAAGAAGCAGGCAGACCCCTGATCATACCTGGAGACTGCAGCGCTTCTCAGAGACTGGCAGGGACCCCGTGGGCACGCAGCAGGCCTCCACAGCCCTATCAGTTAGCCTAAGCGATAGTTATAGAACATTCCACCCAGTAACTCAAGGCTTCCAAAGTCACTAAGCAGACCTATGCTGGACCAAACGAATTTCGATAAACTTAAAGGCACTGAAATCTACAGAGTATGTTCTTTGCCCACAATGGAAGTATATCAGAAGTAACAACAAAATTTCTGGAATGTCCTTAAGTATTTGGAACTTAACACAGTTCTAAATAACCTAATGGTAATTATCACTGAAGCAAATGAATAATGTGAAACATAAGATATCAAAAATTGAAGCTAAAGTAGTGTTTAGAGGGAAATTTATATCTTCAAGCCCTTACATTAAAAAATATTTGTTTAAAATCAATGTTTCAAGCTTCTAAATTAAGAAGACAGGGAAAGAAAAGCAAACCAAAGCCAAAGTATAATAAGGCAGGAAATTATGAAACTAATGAAATGGAATCTCAAAAAGTTCAATGAATGGATAAACCTGTAGCTAGAATGACAAAGGAAAAGAGAAAACAGATCCTATCAGAGTGAGAGAGGATGTCACTAAAGATCTTACTGACATCAGGATCACAGGAGGTATGACTGACGCATGCCAATAAATCTGACAACTTAGGACAAATGGACAAATTCCCTGACAACCAAAAGTTATCAAAACTGACAGAAAACCTGAATAATTCTATATATATTAAAGATGTCTAATTTGTAGCTGACCTCACCAGCCCCAGCAGAATTTCAGGACCCAATGGCTTCAGCAGAGAATTCTAACCACTAAAGAAAGAATTGCGCCAACCTTACGCACGTTTCTTTCTTTCAGAAAACAAGAGGGACGCTCCCTGCTCGCGTTTCCCGGCAGCCTTTGCTTCGGTCCCCAGAGCGGACACCGCAGGGAAAAGGGCTGCAGCCGCTCCGCGGGAGAGTGGAGGGCTCGGTCTTGAGCGCGGAACAGCGTGCTGGTCCTCCCGGGGGCCCCCTTCCATTCTCCCCTCTCGTCCTTCACGCCTGCTCTGCTCGGTCGGCCACCTGCGCCCCCTGCCCGTCCTTCCCAACGGTCTCGCGTCCCGCTCTGGTTTCCGGACCCATTTCCCTGGGTCAGGCCGTGCACACTGCAGGAGGCACGCTGCCTCCGGAACCCCCTCGGCCCGGCCCATCTGGGCACCACCGTGAGGCCGGCCGCCCCCAGGCAGCTCCGGTCATGCCAGGCTCCCGTTCGGCTGACGTTCCTGAACAGCGTGGGCACGTTAGCCTGGCACCCCAGACCCTCCACCGCCTTGCTTCCCCAGCCTTCCCTCCCACCCCCGCTTGTGCTCCCGCGGGCCGTGTTCTCCGCGTGCTTCTCTCCCGTGGAGCGGCTGCGGCCCCAGGCACCCGTCTTCCGGGCTGAGCGCAGCACCGCCTTCCCTTTGGGTTCCGACAGTGCCCGGGGAGGGGGGGCTCCTCCTTCCCTTTGGGCTCCGACAGTGCCCGGGGGGCTCCTCCACTGGGGCTTTGGCACGCTGACAACAATCAGGCGCCATCTGGAGATACTTCGCAGCCTGCCCCGCAGGTCACTGGCTGTCGGAGGGCGCGGCCGGTCTTGATGGGCTTCTCTGCGCCCCGCATCTCTCCCAGCTCAGGGCCTTTTATACGGGAAGAGCTGAATGCATACGCGGTACCTAGTCAGGTGAAGACAGCTGAGGATCCCTGGGCGCGCGGTTTGCCAAGGAGACGATCTCTTGTGCCACACGGTCGTCTTACAATGCGACTGACATTCTTCCCCCTGGAAGATGGGGGGGTGTCTCTGCTCCCTCTTAAACGTACACAGGTTCTGATGTCGTGTGACTTTGAGACGAGGTCATAAAGCAAACCGCTTTCATCTGTTTCTTCTTAGGATGTTCGATCCCGGCACTTGAGCCCTAGCGCTGAGCAAGAACGAGCGGCCCCAGGGACGGCCCGGCGGAGGCCCCAGGCACGTCAGCCCCGGCCGCTGGCCGCGACACTCCGGCCTCCGCGTGCCCCCAGGTAGAGCCCCAGACACCGTGGGGCCCCTCACCCTGTCTCAATGCCTGATCCATAAAGTCCACAGGCATAAATCTCTAAGTATAATAAAATGGTGGTTGTTTTACACTGTATAAGTTTGGGGTGGTCTACTACACAGAATAGTAAATTGGAACAATCTTTTCATTTCTTTATATCAAGGCATTACTAAAAAAAACTTGAGAAACTTATACCAAACTAAGGGAAAATATTTTAAATGTTAATGCTTTCAAAGGCCCGTAAACCGGCCTGAATTCTGAAAACGTACCTGTGGTGAGAACCTGTGTGCCGTCGGCACCGAGTCGCGCTTACCTTCTCAAACTTGAGTCTCACAGGTCTGGGGTTGGCCGCAGTCACGGCTTCAGCAATTTCCTGCCCGATCTTAAATGACTGCTCCTTAGTGGCTCCTTTGAGTAGCACAAACATACTAAGATTAAAAGTTAAGAGTAGAATAATGAGGAATTTTCTGTAACAGAAATCTCTCATCAAGAGTAGCTTTCCTGGCTAACATTCTAACACCAAAGAAATAAGCACCTCACTCTTCACTGTCAGGCTGCTTCCTATCCAAGCGTCCGCTCACGGGGCTTCTTACCACAGGACTTCTAGGTCTCTAATACTTCCAGTGCGGCCATGCCCAGACCAGCTCAGCTCTAGCTTCCAAGGGGGTCCTGGGTCATCCTAGACATTAATGGCCTTGTATGACACACAGTTACGTCAGTCATAAAATAACAGAAAATATGATTATAAAGAAACAGAAAATTTACTTGTGATATGGGAGGAAATTCCTTCTAGAACCACCTGACTTGAATGACACACATGTATTCTGTAATATATATTCACTGATGAACAGAAAATACAAAAAGGCACAAAAAAGAGAACAGCCCTGTAGAGTTTTACCATCAGAAAAAAGACACTACAAACCTTTTGTAACTGTAAATCTTCTCTTTTGGGTTCACAGATCTTACTGTGTGACTTTCTCTTTTCATTTAATGGCATACTGTAAACATTTCCCATGTCACTTAGTTATTTTACATTTATTTTAATAGTTGTACTGCATTTCAATGTATGGATATAATTTAATCAAACCCTTATCATTGAAAATTTAGGCCATTTAAATTTTCTTGCTAATATTTCACCTATAATAATTTGGTACATCACTGATTGTGCCCTTAGAATAAACTCCTAGGAGTAAAATTTCTGGATAAGTGGTATATACTAAAAATACTATTTTTAAGCTACTATTCAGATATTTCTGATGTGCAATCCTACCAGCAATATATGCAGGTCAAGAGGGAAGGATTTCTGATTTGGATAAAAAATTTCAAAATAAAAAATACTCAAACAAAACAAAAATATTGGGCATTTTTTTCTAATGATCCAGCTGACTTTGTAACAGCACTTTATATTTCAGTATGTATCATAATGAGACCAACAGAAATACTGGCTAATAAATATATTTAAATAAGAGATTATAAATTGATCTCCACTTCTCATCTCAGTAGAAAGACATTAAATAGTAAAAACAGATAGTATCTTGAAACATGCCATTAAGATTCTTGTTTCTAGTCTTAGAGCCACATAAATCTGTTTTTAAATGTTTTTATATTGGACTTTAAATCTCATTTGGATGGTTTCTTTGCAAAAGTTCTTTCTCTGCCAATATTGGGGACAGTACTTATCTTAGAGTCTTACATAAAAAGCTCAAGGACAGGGAGTAGTTATTCAATATTATTTTAGGCCTTTAAAAAAATGGTCTTAACTTGAATTAATTTTAACATTCTCTGAGGCAGAACACACAGGCCTTAAGTGGTTAATTATACCTTTAAACTAGGCTATACCTCTAAATCACTTGAAGCTCTTTGTAAATTTTTTTTTTTAGGACCATCTGATGCTCATTTCATCAAATGTATTTTTAAAATAGATCATTATAAAATTTCCTTTTAAAGATTAAAAAATCCCAACTTTATTGAGATATAATTTACATCTAATAAAATGAATACAGTTTAAGTATACAGTTCCACGAATGTTGACGAATGTATAGATTTGTTTTGGGCTAAACTGGGCTTCCCTAACATTCCTTTGTTGAAGCCCTAACCCCAAACCTGTGCACGGACAGAGGGCCTGTAAAGAGGCAATCACGTCAAGATGAAGCTCTAACTGGGGTGGTCAGAGTGAGCCTCATCTGACTGGTATCCTTATCCTTATGAGAAGAAATGTGGATACACAGAAGCCGTCAGGGATACACACACACAGGTGAGAGGGCTTGTGACACACAGTGGGAAGGGGCCCCTGCAGGCCAGGGAGAGGTGCTGGCAAGTGTACCTGCTGTGCCCGGCTGCAGACCTCCAGCTCCTGGGCTGTGAGCGCGTACACTCCTGCTGCGTGAGCCCCGAGTCTGACAGCCCCAGACAAGGATCTGTGCAGCTGCCACCAGAACCAAGACAGGCTGCTTTCATCACCCCGAGCCCCGTACTCCTCTGCAATGATTTTCCATCCTCAGCCCAGGCAACACACGGCCTGCTCTGTTACTATAGACTTGTTTGGCTTTTCAGGAATTTTATATAAAAATGGAACTATACAGTCCATACTCATTATGTCTGGCTTCTTTCACTCAGCATAGTTTTGAGATTCATTCATGTTGCTGAAGTATTAGTAATGGTTCCCTTTTATTGCTGAGCAGTATCCCATCGTATGGATATGCCACTCGTGTTTATCCATCACCCGCTGATGGATGTAAGGCTTGTTTGCAGTTTTGGATTCTTACAAATGAAGCTGCAGTGAAGATGGGCACCAAGTCTTTGTGCGGAGCTGGTTTTCATTTCAAGGAGTGGAACGGTCCAGTCATATGCTAAGGGTGTGGTGGACCTCAGATACAAATGCCAAACTTTTTTCTTAAAGATTATTATGCCTAAAATGTTCAGATGCAATGATGAATGAAAACATTTTAAAATCCAAGTATATAGACAGACAAGACTAAGCTGTAGTAAACAAATTAGGTGAGGAGTTGCCTGGGGTCGAGGATGAAAGGGAGGGACTGACGGCAGAGGGACAGGAGAGAACTTTCTACACAGACATAATGTGCTGCATCCTGCCTGGGGCGGTGGGCTACACGGGCCTACACATTTGTATACTGAACTATTCCTGTGCACTTTTTTGTTAAAAATTCTCTCTCAATAAAGCTGATACAAATTGTAGGTGAATATACTTTACATCTTAAAAATCATTATTACAGCACATATATTTGAGATTTGACCCGGCAGTGTTAGTGGGCTGACTTGAGGCCATCTACGATGTTTTGGCCAGTGTTATTTGGAGTTAGGCTTCAAGAGAACTGGCCAGGATCAGTAATTTTTCTGGTCACTTACAGAATGAAGATGACTAGCCTACCAAGAAAAAGAACGTTTTAGAATAATTTTCTTTTTGTCACTGGTGCTTTTAACCTAGTTAAAAACATTTATCTTTGGGTTGAGAGACACAAATATACATTTAGAGCAGTTATTTTCACATGGGGAGGGTAGGTGAGTCAAGGGGGAGATGAGAATTACCAGGAAGGCTTTTCTGAATTATATGCAAATGATTTTCCCAGAGATTCTGTCCTTGCCTCACGCACTCTAGACTGACAGCCACTCCCGCTGCTGCTGAGCGTGCCAGTGACTGACGGGAGCAAGTCGCATCCCCCTAGAGTGGGCTGAGTATGACTGAGAATCGCTATTACACAAAATGATTTTGAACCACTATAATATAAAGAAATAGCGCATGTATTATACTTTCTAAATGGACAGCAGTGCATAACTGCTTTTGAAAGAGAAACACTTTTAACAGTTAATTTTGATGTTTTTGGTAACCAGTATCTGCTGATAAGACACAAGATTGATACAATCAGCAGTCTTGAAATTGCAGGGAGGTGGAGGTCATTCACCATCGTCTGTCAGTCCCTTCTTTGTGGGGAGGGGGCAACGTGTCCCGGAGAGGCTGGGCCATTTGTGGGTGCCACACAACCAGCTGCGGCGCTGCCGGAGGAGAAGCCAGAGCTCCTCACTCTCAGCCAAGGACTCTCTCACTCCAGCAAGCTTTACCTCTTATCCCTGGAGCAGTGTTTCTCAACCTCTCATTACTGACCTAATTAAATTAATTCCTGTTCTAATTAAAGGAAAACAATTAAAAGTAAACTTAACAAGAGAAAATAATTACCAAGGAATAAAATGTTGCTGGCGGTTGAGCTTTGGGGGAGGGGTCACAACCCATTGCACTACCTGTCTTTGAGCCCCAAGGACATGTGCATCCCGCAGGGGCAAGTCACCAGTGAGAATGCGTGCCGGAGGGACTGCTCTTGTGCAGTCAGGTTCAGCAAACGTTTGCTGGATGAATCAGTGATCAAAGGTCTAATGAATGGTGCTCAAAGGTCTAATGACACTGCCAATAAATTTCCTTGATGGGAACCCTAAAATACCCGTGAAGTTTGATGTAGACAGAAAGTACCAGGTAGGAAGGAAAAAACACTGAGCAAACTTTATGGCTCCACTGCAGACTGGTTGGGCTTGAGGGGAATTTGCACCTGAGAATGTGCCTCCCAGGGTTCCTGCCAGAGAGTGAAAAACGCTGACCTAAATAACACCAAGGTCCTCATCCAGCTCCTACATTCTGTGAGTCTGTGTTTCTTGTCTGTTCGAATTCCTGACGATCTTAAAGGCTGAACAATGTAACTACATTCAGAATCATGCCACTTTCTGACTGTGAGTGCTGTCAACCACTGACATGTATGATTCTGAATTAAACACAACAATTTAAATGTTTATTTTCTCTTCTTTCCTAAATATCTTGCAAGGAGTTCTGCTAATAAGGTGCAAACTATGTTCCAGTAATTTTTATTTTGCTAGACTACTGAGCAGAAGTGGTTTACAAAATAGTGAAACACTTGGAAGTCAAACTGAGGAGTGGCTTTTGATTGGTTAGACTATGGCTAATTGGGGCCTGGGTAACTGGAAACTGTCTACACCTCTTGGTGAAGAGAGCGCTATAGAGGCAAGGTCTCATTCAGCACTGATAATCATTATGCTGACTGTATGTTATTAAAGAACTGGAAAGGAGTAAATGCTGTTTAAAGATTGCCTAGACCCTGCTTTTAATAATTAAATGAGCATTATCTCCTATTGCCCCAGTAATCGGAGCTCCTGAGGCACGTGGTCTCAGCAGGACCACAAAATGACCCTAAGCCCTCAACATGAAAAAAACCTCAGACTCTGAGAAAATCTCCATGATACCTATGCTCTAGAAGAATTTTAGTAAGTCAACAGATAATATGTTACATAAATAACTGGGCCGTGGAACAGGAAAGCAAGCAAACCGGCTGAGGTGTTAGTCTGGGGCTCCAGGCGGTCCTACCCTCTGCCAGTCCGCACGATGGGCTTTATGAGGTCTGTGCGCCCTCTAGAACCAGATGGAAGAGTGCGTGCGTATTTGCACTTTCTGTGGAGGAAGGTAACAGATTTGGGGCCTGGTAAAAAGTTAACCACTCACAGTTTTGGCAACCGTCTTTCAAAAAGATTAGACTAATTGAACATATGCATATATTTAAATTAGGAGAGCTGCAGCTATATGAGGAATTATTCACATTAAACACAGACTAGACACCTGTGTATCCATGTTTTACAGATCGCTATCTACTTGGCTACCTGCAGTCATGGGAATCCTCGCCATGGGAATCTGTGGCTCAGACACGTATGTGTTTTGTCTCTGAAGACCACATCTGGTGCATCAGGACCTATGCTACCCTGACCACAAGATCATAAGGACTGGAAAGGACTTGGATAAAACTCTATTTTTAGGGAGGAATAACCCTTAAAACATTTCAAACATCAAAGAGATGCAGTAAGACAACCACAAAACAGAAAGTTCATCACCTGTCGGTATCACCATATACAACCCTAGCACCCCATTTCTTGGTATCATTCACCAGTTTAATAGCTCGTTCCAAGGTCTCTCTGGCTTTGTGAACAATACTATCACCAACCTGTTGGTACAAACACATTGGAAATAATTTCTTAGTATGGCTTAGTGTGAGCCAATAGATTTCAACACACAATTTTAATTATTAAATACTTCTAAAATGAAACGAGGAGAAAAGAACATAAAAAACACACTAGTGATCAGTGCCATCATTCTTTGTGGAGGCCTCTAAGGAACAAGGGGAGAGGTGGCACCCGTGGAACCCAAACGGAAGCTGCGCATTGATTTTTCAGGGCAAACGGGTCACCAACAGTGGCCGCACACTTCCCTTCAGAGAGCACGCCACCAGCGGCGTGTGACAGAGCCGCCAAGAGGCAGGCCTGGGCTCTCGGAGCGAGACGAGACTTCGCAAGCAAGGACTCCATAAGGAGAATGAACTCAGTGCTGAGGATGCTGGGAGACCCCTATGATGGTGGCACTGACGCCTCACACTAATGCCTGGGCACAAATGCGTATCCAGACTATGGAGAAACATGCATATATTTCTTGAATTATCATTGAAATAAAGACACACACAGTTCTCACAGTGAAAATCCACGAGTCCCTAAGAAATAATATGTATGTATATAAGTCCCAGTTTAAGAAACATGGATCCTATGCCACGGAAATGAAACACGTTAAAGTTTCAAAACAAAATAAAACGAAATGCTTACACAAACAGGTATTCATTTAATGAAAAAACCAGTTTCACATTACTTACCTCAGTGCATGGCATTCTCCCAGAAAAATTAGCAGCTGTATAGCCAAATGTGACATTTGCTATAAGCTTAAGTCCCAGCTGACGTGCATCGAGCATTCGTGAAAGAGCTCTGTCTTGTTTGTAAGCCTTCATTGACTGCTTCACCATTAGTCTAGTCTTCAAAATTTCTTCAAGCATTCTTGGTAGCACACCCTTTCTTACTGAAGGCTATCATAAAGGAAAAAAGAATGTTTAAAGTCCTTAAATGTCATAGGTTTAGATCAAGACGGAAGCACAAAGTATAACAATGGCCAAGTGTCACGAATTGAAACATATTAGCAATAGAGTGGCTGCACAGCCAGTGGCCATCAATACAAATCACCACATTTTCTTTCTTTTGAAGAGGATTTCTCTCCTAAGAGGCTCCTGCAATGTTTATACATCTAATGTAGCATGACTATGAGCTCAAAGGCCTCCAGGGTGGAGGACGCCAATGAGTGCATAAGAGACCACCACACAACAGTTCAGGGGGAAATTTTGTTCAAAGCTTTGATCCAAACCCCCACTCTTTCAGAAAGACACATGGGATTTGTATCATTCATAACAGACCTCAGTCTTTAAAGATCTCCTCCTAATGACCCCACACAGTCATCTGCATGGAACTCCATTTATCTACCTTGGAAGAGTGAAGAGCTGGGTTGACTCTGCTGACATTCAAACCTGCAGTTCCAGAGACTCTAGGTATTTCAAATCTGATGCTTAGACCACTAAGCCATCCCCTCCGGCCTATATTTATTAGCAATCTGGAAGAGGGGATGAATAGTGAGGTGATAAAATTTGTTGATAAAAAAATAAAAAAAAAAGAAATCATTTGTATTAATCAAAACTAGGGAGAATTTATGAGAACTCCAGTAGGAACGAAACCACAAAACAATATTATTAATTTGAAGATGATTCACAGACACGTGCAAGGTAATGCATGTTGCACTGAACAATTAAAACCTCAGGTATAGGGTAATCACACTTCTGAATATTAAAAAATCTTATTTTTATTAACCTCTATACATTGGGTCAAAATACAATAGCAAGTTTTTAAAATGCTGTTAAAGCGAGATAATAAGATAAACTGCTAGGTATGTGATATGGAAACATATACTAACCTCTAATTCATTCTGTGTACCTTTTAAAGTAGCTGTAACGTTCATATTAAGACATAATATATGTCATTATATTAAGAGGTAATATTTTCCATGATATATTTATCATGAGCACCCTGGTAAAAAATCATCCTCTTATCTAAGTGGCTAACTTTAGGGCACTCTTTAAACACAGTGCCCTCTTGCTGGCAGAGAATGATGCTGCTTGTGCTAAGTACACCAGAATGAATCAGAGGGCTAGTGGGGTCCATGCTACCATCAGCCACCCTATTGTCCCATGGTTCTGGTACAGACTCATTGCTAAGGAGATAGAAGAGAAAGGAATGAAGCTGGCATATGAGAGGCAATACAATCTCCTAGAATTCTCCTTTTTGTCTTTAATTTATTCATCTATGAGGTTATCCTCAGTCTCTTTTGAGGGGAGATAAGGGAGAGAAAAAAGGGACCCTATTATCAGTTTTATCTTCTTAAAAATGCAATCAATAAATATATTAGAGTACCATTATTTTGGAGATAGTTTTAATTTAAAATCTTGTAGAGAAACAATAGTAGAGTTTACACATTGAAGCAATTTAGATCTTTCTAAGTTAACGTTGCCGCGCTCATCAGACAGCATGGATGTACATTTACTTCCTCCGATATTTCATTAAAAACTAAAATCTAACAATTAAAAGATTTTAAACCTAAATTCACACAAAACAAGATGACTGGGATTTTTAATGGCTTCTTAGAAGATTTCTAAATTCTTGACTTTTTGAGGTAGGATATTGAAGCACACTTGGTATAAATATTCTTTGAAATGTATGCCAAGACCATCTAAGCCATCAGCTCTCCAAAGGCTAAGCCACAGGTGACACTGGAGAGCATTACCTTGACAAAGGCTACCCCGTTGGGGGACACGGTGATATCATGCCGAATTTGGTAAAGTAAATCTGGAGGTATTCTTAGAGAGGTGCAGCCAAACTTGAACTCATCATACCTGTTTAGAAAGAAAACATTGAGCAAATACTTTCTCAAATCATAGAATAGAGATGGTAGGGATTTTTACTAATCTTTCTAATTCCACAGAAATTCATTTTCAAGTATCTAAATGTGAATTCATGTGCTTAGTAATATGTATATCTAATTAACAAAAAGCAGTCCTTCAAATATTCACAATTTTTTCAAAGAAATACTTTTTTTAAATGGTAGTAGCCTAAAATTTACAGTTAAAATCTATACTGATATACCAAATTTCAACTCAACATATGACCACCTTACACTAAGCTCCTTCCAGAAGATTTTGTCTTAAATAAAAGGACTGTCAATAATCTTTTCAAATCTTAATAAAAAGACAAGATTACCAATACAATTTCTACAAATGCTTTCTATGAAGGAGCAAGCATATTTCTGGTTTTAAACACACAGAGGTCATTATAAAGGAAGACTGTATTTCTTATAATATGACAAAAATGACTACTACTTTGAGTTTTCAAAATGTTCTTTTCGTTTAGTTTATAAAATTTGGTTAACAAGAATAAATAAAACCTAACATTTAACAAAGAAAAGGCAGTAGAGCTGATAGCTGGAGTGGTAAGATCATAATCCTCACTGTTACACTGAAATGTGATTTACTTCAACCAATCAAATATGCTGTGATGTACAAGGGCCCACGGGTATGCATGGAGAATGGAACAGGTTAAGTCACAGCCTGATCTAGACACGGTCTTCATTTATATGAGTCACTCATCCAAGAGGCTGATTAGTCCCGTGATGATCCATGTCAGTAAGGTAGCTGCAAAGAATGAATTACCTGCACTACAGCCTGTTCTTCTTGCTCACAAGGACAGTCTCAAGAGCAAAAAGGGACACTCACAGTCTAACTTTATGAGAAGTTCAAAGCACAAAAATATAATTCCATGTATGGAGAACTTACTTTCCCAAGCTCTCCACACGGCCAAGGCAGGTGGAGAAACAGTAGTTGTACGCGATCACAATAGACGGGTACAGAGACTGGAAATCCAGCACCAGGACGGAGTTGCTGTAGAAGCGGGACTCGGGCTCCATGATTAGGGGGGTGCACTGCGACGCCCTCATGTGGGACCTCTGCTGCGTGCTGGGCGTCACGGGGACGTAGTTCATCGGTTTAGCGATCCGCAGCATCATGGACTCCACACGGTACTGCGGGGGCAGGAGAGAAGACACAATTCAAATATAAAGATGCTGGTCTTTTGAGTCTGTGATAACTATTTTGGGGAAGTTTTGCTCTTCAGAATAGGCTGCATGACTTTCTTACAGCACAGTTAGATAGTACTGGTTTATTTAGCCAGTTTTCAGGGGTATGAAGGGGACAATTGCAAATCCTCTTCCTATCCCTGTAACTTTTATAGAAATGGCAAAATACATCAAATAACTTACATAAATCAATTTTGAAAAGACAGGCACGATGATACTTTTTATATTTAAATACAGCTATTTCATAATAAGCAGATGTAGGAGACACAGCTGTACAGTTTGACGACTTCATTTAAAAAGTTGGCCAATAATCTTGGAGAAATTCATTTGGGAAAATAAGAGATTGAAAGGTAGGATACTTGAGATGGATAAATGTTATCCAGTTCTCCAAGAAGCAGACACAGGCATTCCAGAATTGAGAGGTGGGTAGTCAGCCTGACACCAGTCCCTCCCAGAACTGAATCAAGCTGTCACGGTTTTGTAACAACCACTATTAAGCAGATGGTTTGGGGCATTAGAAAAAGAGCACTCCCAAGAGTCAGCATGGTCTCCCTGGAATGTTCTCGCGGTTTTGCGGTGCTTTGCCTTTTATTATAAGCTAGCTTAAATAGTTTTCAAAACTTGTGAGGGTATAAATAAATAAATAAATAAATAAATAAATAATAAGCAATAAAATTGAATAAGTAAACAGGTAATGTTGAAGTAGACAGAGCTGTAGGTTGGGGGAATGTTACAGATATAATTAAAATAATTAAAAAGAAGACCGTGTAAGGTTAAGGAACCTGAGTGGTTTAGTATAGTGTCCCTGACGCCTAGCAGTGTTTATGATGCACTACAGGTATGCAAATAAATATTTGTTGAATGAATGCATGAAATCATTTCCAGCAAGGCATCTGACAAAATTGTTCATCATATCTTTGGAAAATTAGTTAGAAAGATATGAATTAAATAGCTTCTAAGGTCTCATTTCTCTTCAATATTTACGAACACTAATACAGCCCATTTATATTGACTCCCAAATCCTTTTTTTTTTTAACATTAAAGGTATCTGTTGGGAGTTGAACAAGCCAAAATTAGGAATGTGAAACAAAGGAGAGGTAGCCTTTCTTTGCTGCCCACCCCTGGTTTTAAGGGGGCTCTGACGACACCCCTAATCTCACTGAAAACACTCAGGAATCTAGTCACTCTCAAGGGCACAGCCATTTATTAATACCGTGAAGAACTTGGCAGTGGCCAAAGCGTTGGATGGAGAGAAAATGAAAAGTGGAGCTGTTAAGTGAAATTAAACGTTTTCCAGAAAATAAAATGACAGATTTGATCAACCAGCCATACATTAGTTGGTACCAAATAGAAAGTTCAAATAATCATATCACTTCAAACATCTCTAGCTAAGTACATCATAAATAACCTTCAAGTGTGCAGGGAAATTGCTTTCTTACCTGTGAACCCCTTGTGAGTACATGTAAAAACTGAATGCCAAAAAGCCTAGCCATTTCACTTGTTTTCCCAATCAGGTCCAGCTGCTCTAACATCTGGAGATTTCCACGGACACGGCTAATGTAATGATCAACTGTTTTCCATCTGTTAAGAGAATCCATATTATCAACAGTAGGGAAAAAAAAACGGACACTTGAAGTGAGCACTGTTTTCATTCTGCCAAAACCTACATATTAAAAGTGAGCTTATTTAAGAAGGGAGGCACGTTGTGAGCCTTTAGCAAAGTATGTTGAATTAAAGATTAGAAATGTTGCCAGATATTTCAAGGGTATAAAGCCTAGTGAAAATACTCAAATTAAAAACCGGACTTGTGATAAGGTGGTCAAGACTAAGGGTAACTTTCCAATATTTTGCTTGATGCTGCTCTATTTTTTTAATAAAAATTAACATTCTCTCTTAGATGCTACTATTGATGATGTAATAATTACACAATTATAATTCATCATAGCCATAGGTTTTAAAAGACATGGAGGCTTTGGGTTATCACTGTAAATACCAGTCTAAAATAAAAAGCATGTACTGGGAGAAACAGTAATTTAGTAAAGATTTAGAATGAGGAAAATAATTTAAATGAGACCATACATAGAGTAAATATATGTCACATTAGTATTTTCTGTGGAAGTAAAATATTCTGTTCTTTAAACGTTTAAAAAAATTAACCTCTTTATCCTACATTTTTTGTTAAGAAAACAAGCAAACAAAAAACTTCACTAAAGCCATGAAAGAAAGTTTTGATTTAGTATTATTGTATGATTAAAAAAAAATGATCCAAAGGTATACTGTAAAGAATAAAATTTATTCACTTAAAGAGTATTAAGGATCAAATACACTGCAACCTTTAATTATAAAGATTTTACAACAATATAGTCAGATAATTGTTCAGTAAGAGAAGTTTAAAAACCTATTCCTATGAGTAATGCACACAGAAAAATTAGAAAATCATGCTATAATTAATAAGACAGATAGTAAGTGTTAGCAAGGATGAGGAGAACTTTCAAGCCTACGTACTGCCGGTGGGAATGTACGATAGTGTAGTTGCACTGGGAAATACCTCGGCAGCTCCGCAAATGGCTAAATGTAGAGTTACCACCACCAATTCCTGTCCTGGGTTTATACCCAACGGGAATGAAGACATATGTTCACACAAAATCTTGTGCATGTATGTTCTTAACAGCATTACTCCTGATAGCCAAAAAATGGAAGTAACCCAAGCATCCATGAACGATGAATGAACAAACAGAATGTGGTGTGTACACACAGTGAATATTTGGTGACAGAAGGAAACAAAGTACTGACACATTCGCAGCATGAATAAATCTGGACAGCACGTACTAAAGGGAATGTACTATAAGACTCCATTTACATGAACTGTCTAGAATAGGCAGGTCTATGGAAATGGAAAGTAGACTAAGGCTGCCTAAGGTGGGCTGGGGTAGAGAAGTTAGGGTTGGAGGGTGATGGCTTAGAGGTGGGGTTTCTTTTTTGGGTAACGAAAATACTCTAAAACTTGTAGTAATGGTTGCACAACTCTGTGAATATACTAAAAACGATTGATTGTACATTTTAAATAGGTGAATTACATGGTATGTGAATTATATCTGAATAAAACTGTTGAAAAGAATTAGGCAAACACAAAAAAACCACCCTAAACTGTAAATACTTACTTTTTTTAACAAAATGGACAACAGAAACACTCTTCTACAACTTTCATTTTTAGCTTAATATATTGTGACTCCCTATATATTTTTATAGCTATTGAGGACTATTTTATGATTACTATATAACTTATTTAATTAATCTGTTACTGAGTATCTTTCATTACTTTATGCAATCCTGTGAACATCTTTATAGCTAAGTCTATGTACAGATGCTTAAATATTTCCTTAAGATAAATTCCTAGATTTGGTTAAAGGGTCTTCTATGATTTAGTTTTTAATACATAATGACACACTCCTTTCCAGAAGGTTTTAATAACATATGTTCATACTGGTGATGATAAAATGTCTGTTTCTTGGCATTGCTGTCAACACTGGGGATTATGTATTACTACTAGCATCAGAGGCACAAAATTTTGTCACATTTTATTTTGTATTTGTTGCTTTAGATAATCTAATCCTTCAATAATGCAGATCTGCCAAATTGATATCTGAGACAATGGATTATGTGTGCATCTGATCAGTCCCTATAAAATAAAATAAAACAAAATGGATTTAATGGTTCATCCCTTCTGCAGACCACGTCGGTGGTCCCTGACCTGCCTTGGTGTTTGCGGTCCCTTTCCTCTGCTTGACCTTGTCTACTGCTGAATGCCTCTGGTGAACTTTTCAGTTCAATTATTGTGTTCTTCAACTCCAGAATTTGTTTAGTACTTTACAATATTTCTGTCAAAAATTCTCACTTTGTTTATACACTGTTCTCGTGACCCTGGCCGGCATCTTTATGACAGTTGGTCTCTGTCAGGTAAGTCACATGACTCTGTTTCATTATGGTAGGTCTCTGGAGATTCGTCTTGTTTCTTTGGAATATCTTTGCCTGATTCTTCCTTTTCCTCGACTCCCTCCATTGGTGCCCCACCATAGACCAAGCAGGTACCAACCCCAGTCCTCAAGGACTGGCCCTAAACGGGAGAAGGCTTCTACCGATCAGCCCAGAGATTCTGGGGGTCTCTAGCAACTCTTTCCCTTCCTGGGGAGAAGCAGGTAGCTGTGTTTTCTACCCACACACTCTGTGCTGAGCAGAAGGGGAGTTATACTGTCTGCTAGTCCAAACCACTGTTGTTTCTGTTCCCTGTTTGGCAGCTAGACTGGGTTAGACCTGTCAGAGCTCCAAGACTGGAAAGACAGATGCCATTTCTTCGGGTAGCCTTGGAGGAGTTGGGGCATAGGATGCATGGATCAACTCTGTCTCTCCCCAGGACTAAGCATGAGAGTCAGGATTTCCCTCTGCTTGCTCTGTGTTGAGCAAGGTGCTGCATCTGCGGCATCTTCTGGCTCATGCCACCATCTCCATTTGGCTCTAACAGGTAGACTGTGCAGGACCTGTCAGAGTCCCATTGGAGAATCTGGGGTGCTAGACACACAAACCAACTCCTTCCGTCCCCTCTGGGAGAAGCTAGGCACTGGGATCCTTTTCCTGATCTCATGGCTCTGGGCCAGAAGCAGGCACTCTGGCAAAAGACTGTCCTGAATCTTCCCACCAGCTTTAGTGAATCTGGTTCCGCATTCACCCAGCACGGAGCTTTCAATCAGTCCCTGGATTTCCCACAAAGGGAATCTATGAACTGCTGCTGAATCAGGGTTTGCGGTGTGAAGGAGGGTCTAGGGCTTCCTGCTCTACCAACTTGCTGATGTCATTCCATTTCTTTCCTAATATATGTATTTTTAAGTATTTTAAAAATGGACTTTTTAAATTGAAAAAGTGACTTTTCTGATGGAAGATCACCTTCATTCCTACTTTCTAGTGCTATCTGGCTAGCCATATGGTATAAAAAGAGAATGGGTAATTGTGGTCTCTAACAAAATAAACCTAACACAATGTAGAATTTCGTTGCGTGGTTTTTTGTCGTTGCTGTTAAAGCATTGTCGTCGTTCTAACACTTTGTCAAACTCAGGTGTAATGAGCAAATACAAGTTTTAATTGGGGGAAGAGGGAGGGAAATACAGTCACAAAGCATTAGTCACCCAGGATAGGCCTGGGTAGCTGTTCAAATGGCTGAACCAGCATTTCAAGGGCATGGGGATGTTTTGGGAAATAAGGAAACCAAAAAGGAAATGTAAGCATAAACTCATTTATTCTGAACGTTTTCTATATATACTGGCTCTACACCCAGGAAATGAAGAAAAAAATTTTGAGTATTATCTTCTTGAGCTACATAACCCTCTGCTATCAGGACACAGCTCCTAGATCAGAAACTGGAGTAGCATTTCATAGCTATTCTTTGGATAGCAGATGAAATCAGGATGCTATTATGAGTCCTTTAGATCAGTAATACTAGGGATTATGAAAGGTTCTATATAGACTGAGTTAGGAATCTAATCATGAGACACAACATTTTATAGAAAAACACGATCTAAGTCCGAAACAACAAAACTTTGGGAACATGGCTCATTCACATAAATGAAGGGCTTCCAGAAGATCCAAATCTGCGTTTACAAGAACAAAATAATAATCAGGGTACCTTCATGCTTTGTGAACAGATTTAATATCAGAAATCCTTGACTAGCAAGTTCCTCTCATTTCTTAGTCAACTTACTTATTGTTGAAATAAGTAAGTTTCCTTAACATACTGTTTCCTTAACATATTGTTGAAAGCAAATGCAAATTTAAAAGTATGACATCCTTTCTTGGTAAGAATTCACTTAAACTTTAAAATAAAATTGCCTGATCTACAAAGTATCTCCAGAGAAAGAGTGCACAGTCTCTCCATGTAACATAATCTATTTAACATAAATGGTCTAATGCTTAGTCCAGGTCCCTTATGTAGTATGTTAGGTCCAGTTCTTTATTTTACTTGGTAAAAACAGAATTACCTATCATCCTGCAAAATAACTATAATTAGAGGTAGTAAAATATGCATTTAGAGCATTCTAGGGCTTACAAACCAATCAACAAATGTGCTTTTCAATGTTAAGTTTAATATCAAGTTTTATTTTATTTATGGTATATAACTTTTTTTTCTATAAGGCTTTTACCATAAACTCAGCACTTTCTGTGATTTCACTTCCTGGAGATTCCTTAAGAGACTGGAGAATGAGATAACATGCTCAAAAAGCAGTTTCCCTAAAAATATCACGTTGTTTTTGAGTCTATTATCTTTCCATCTTTACTATCAGGGGCCTTACTATTCAGTATGCAGAGCTTCATTCATTTCAAACATAAACACATGAATTTCAGGACTCTGTTCTTGATACAGGATTTTCTAAGTCTATTACTATCATTTCACCTTCAACTTAAAGAAAAGCAGAGGTCAGCACTTTCACTTCTGATAGTGATGGAGGAGGAGCTGGTAGTGGATTAGCCCTCCTGCCAGGCTAACAGTCGAGGCACTGTTTCCAGGCAATGACCAACAGGCAGTGCACGGCTGTGCTCCCTGAGAGGAGGGCGACTGGAGGGGCGACCCCAGGGCACGCAGCTTCCTAACACAGGGGAGTGTGCTTGAGGCTGAGCAGAGCGCAGTTGTTCTGCTAACTAAGCCTAGGAGGCAGAGATTGGAGTTCAGGCAGCTTGCGGCTGGAATCTGTGCAAAATGGTACCTGTGGAAGGCGCACGAATAGTGGTCATAAGACCAGGTGGGGCTCCCTGTGAGTGACTGGCCAGGGCTGTGCTGCACGTGAGGAGCACAAACCCACATGAGGCCTCCTGGACAGCGGCTGCCACGGGCACTGGTTTGGAAGAGAACTGGTCAGACAGTGCTGCGGCTGGAGGCCCAGCAATGCCACGGTGGACAGACCTCATCAAGCCCTTCTTAACAACTTGGGCATCCAGCTGAGAGCCCAGAAAAGCTATACGTTAAGAGGCCTCTGCCTGAGCCTAAGGACTACTCCAGGCAAGCCTAAAACCGAGCACAAGCAATCTGTACGTGGAATGGAGTTTGGAGGTTGAGTCCTGTCAAGTTGGAGGAGTTCAGGAAACATCATGGGCTTTCCAGAGATCCACTTTAATAAAGCATAAAACCCAGGTCTGCACAAGTTCAAGGTGATCAGCCAATAACTGAACTGCCTACTAGAGCAAAAATAAACATGCGTCAGTGAGAAGAGAACAAAAGTCCAGAATCTGAACCACAGAACATTAATAATATCCATTACAGACTCATGCAAAGAAATGACAATAACAACAAAATCAACTAGTTAAGAAAAAAAGCAGTCAATGGAAACTAACAGAGATGACCAGAAACTGGATTTAGTAACTATTATAGATATTTCTACAAATCTAAAGGAAAAAATACTCAAAAAATTAAAAGAAAAATATATAGTCTTAATGAGTGAACAGATGGGAAAATACTTCAAATATGGAAACTATGAAAAGAAAGAACCAAATGAGAATTCTGGAACTAAAAATACAATAACTGAAATGCATAATTCATTGGCTGGCAGACTGACAATGATAGAAGACAGTTAATAAATGTAAACATAGGTCATTAGAAAAAGACTGAGAAAAATGTGCAGAGCCTCAAGAATCTGTGGGACACTATTGACTAGTCTGAATACACAGCTGGAGTCTAAAGGAAAAAGGAGAGTAAGAGTGGAAGAGATATTTAAATAAATAGCCAAAGTTTTCCTAAATTTGATTAAAAACATTACTTTAAAGATCTAAGAAGTTCAGCAAACATCAAGAAAGATAAATATAACATCAAAAACATCTCCATCTACAAATATCACAGTGAAATTACTGAAAACCAAAGGCAAAGAGAAAAACCTTGAAAGTAGCCAGGAAAAATAAAATTACAGAGTTCTGTTTCAGATGTAGAAAGCTACGAACAACTTTGCTTCAGTCTAACAAGGATGAACCACAAAACCATGTTTTCTTGAGGCCATCAGAGTTAGGTTACCAGAGAATCAGGCCAACTAAATTCAACAGGGTGACAATGCCCATCTCAGGGCCGACAGACTATGTAACCTATTTCATCACTGGCAGAGCAAGGAGGGAATGGCAGCTGGTACGAAGGAAACATTAAAATGTCAACAAATTCTTGAAGGTTACATATGGGCCAGCACAACAGTTTGGAATCACTGGGAGCCCCAGACACCAGGGGAATCATTTTCCATGGGCCCCCAGGAAGTGCTCGTGAGAAAGACTGGGGCAGGCATGTCCGACAGGAACGAAGGCCTACCACCACCCCTGTGCTCTCTCACATGAAGCAAAGCCTTGCGCTGCTGTGGGACCAGCAGGAAACTCCGATCCTCAGGGTTTATGCAAAGATCCACCATCTCTGGGGAAAGACGTCTGCTGCTAGGAGAGGGTAGTGAGTGGCAAAAGCTGCCCCTGAGGAAAAGGCAGGAAACCTCCCCATCCCAACCATGGGCTGTCCACCCTGGGGAAGGAGCAAGGAACCTTCCTATCCTGTATGCTAGGCGAAGAAACTGCTGCTGAGGAAAGAGGAGAAACATAAGCTGTCTTCTCCTGGGGGAAGAGTCAGGAGACCTGCTTGGGGCCAGGACCTGGCAGTATACAAAGCAGAGGTCCACTGCCACTGTGGGGAGTGCAGGAATGCTGAGCCCCAGGACAGCAGTGACTCTGGCAGAACTGAGCAATGCCCTCTCTCCACAGAAGCCCCACATAGTAAGCACGGCAGCCGTTCATCAGGCCTGGTGGACAGCCCCTGCTGGGAAGATGCAGGGGGCCCTGCTGGTTTCTCACCAGAAATAAGGAAGGCCGGAAGAAAAGGGAACAACATCTTTAGAGTGGGTTAAGACAAGAAATCTCAACCCCATAATTAGGCAGTAAAATATCATTCAAAAATAAGGGTGGGATAAAGGCATTTCAGATAAATAAGAGCTGAGAGATTTTGTTGCCAGGTCTGCAGGAGAACTCCCAAAGGAGACAATTCAAGCCTCTTAAACTTTGAACAGGCTAACCATGCGCCCGGTGATTCCACTCCTAAAGAGGTGAAGTGTATATTCACATAAAGACTTGCAGTTTTATTCACAACAGCATCAAACTACAGACAACTTAACTGTCCATCAGCAGGTGACTAAACTGTGGTCTAGTCACACAACTCACTAATTTTTTAGAAATAAATATTACCAAACTATTGGTTCATGCAACAACATGGTTGAATCTCAAAAAAATTACGCTCAATTTCTTCAAAGAAGCCAGACACAAAGCGGTAGACTGTACATAATTCTATTTATATGAAGTCCCAGAACTGGCAAAACTAATCTATAGTAACAGAAATTCATAGTATTACCTGGGTGCTTAAGGAATAGAATAAGTATGCTGACTGCAATGCCAGAGGTGGGAATTTTCTGAGTGTTAGAAATGTTCTTTTCTTGACTGGGGTAGTGATTTACACTTCTTTAAAGTCATCACACAGTACTTCAAACTTGTGCATATTATTGTGTGTAATTATGCTCCAATAATATTGTAAAGAAGAGATATTATCCCCTCTAGAGTTATAAAACATTACCTGTATAGATCTGTCTTGTTATCAAACCAATCTGATAAGACTCGAAAGGTGAAGAGGGGAAAACGCTGATGAAGAACGTGAAAGCTCACATTTTCAAAGGTGTAGTTAGTTAGCGACACCTAAAAAAAAGCAAGACTCCGTTATAATAATGCCTGTATTTATGCACAAACTTGGGGTAAAAGACCCATACTGCTTCTAACTCTTTCATAGTAGACATGAAAGCTACTTGTAAAAAATGGTTTGTGTTACAACTGAATTACAATTAACTTACAACTATGTATATATGGCCTACTGAACAGAAATGATAATAAATTAGTATTTAATTGGAAAAAATCAGGCCTGATGAGATTCAACTTGGTCACAAACACTCAGGAGACCCCAATTCCCATCACTCCTTGATCCTCCGAGTCGATGCCAGTGCTGGTGGACAGGGCGCCGTGACGAGGGTGACTTCGGGTTCTCCCCATGCGCACTCTTTGGCCCTTGAGCCTGCTGACTAACAGCACCCCACGGACTGAAGGATGTGTCATGTAGCTAAAGGCGGGCGTTGCTCCTTTTCCAAGAATCACGTCAGTGCTATGACCCAATGCGCGGACATTGTGGAGTCATTTAATTTCATCCCCAAAGCAAAAGATTAAAAGGAAATGACAGAAATATTTCCCTATCTTCTAATATGCAGGTAAAAGCCGTGTTAATGGGAAATACTGAGAAAGGGTCCAAATTCATAAAACATATTTCTACCTAGATAATCTCTCAGAAATACCTGTAAGACACAAGTGATCTAGACAATGGCAGGTATTTAAATGCAAAATGGAAATTAAGGATCTAGCAGTCCCCATTCTTAGGTCAGCTTGGGATTCTGAGGAATAGCTCAAAAGAACTTTATATTTGTGTACTGTATTATAATTTTAAAGTACTTTTTTTTCCACTTCTACAATCTGTTAAGTGGAAAACAGGGATTGAATGTTAGGCTCATCTCAGTGCTGTGACCCAAATGGGTCTTTATATACAATTTCTAGCAATCTCCAGAATGACAGCATTGGAATGCAGCACACTTCAGAGCGTGTACAGACTTACACTTACACACACACACACACACACACATACACACACAGAGTTTTAAAATCCCCATATTTGAATGACTCTTCTATTTGCACAGCCTTTGTTCCTGTTGCTCTTTTAGGATTAGTTGTATTGACTATATTTTCGTATTATCTGTGGTTTTGGGAGGAGGCCTCACCTCTCACACCACCATTATCAATACCTGCCCCCCAACCAGTCGACTCTTCTTTTTGCTAATGAATATTTTCAATTTAGTCTTTTAAAAAATTATTTAATTTTACAGAAAATGGAGTCAAACATCTGATCTCAGATAGTTACATGATTATCTAATACAGAGTATATAGCACTTTAGACCAAATTTAAATTTCTATTGGAGAATATTTCTTCATTAAAACAACCAAAAAAAAACCCGATCCTCTACAGAAAAGATCACCTTGTTGTCCTGCAGCTCTTTCATTAGGGAAAGATTTGAAGTTTGCCATGTAAACTAACCTCTAACGGTTAACTAGGAGATTATGTGACCTCAAACTAAGCTTAAAATCTTAGGAATTGGTTCCCGATACCTGAGGCAGATGACAGACCTATATTCTGAGTTGACTTTATTTCAAGTACAACAATTTAAAAAATTAAATTAAGACTAAATAAATATTATAACCTTATAACACTCACTCTACTTTGGGTTTTCTTGGTGTCACAGAAGCATAAAATGCACGGCAATAATCTCAGCTGTGAATAAAATTAAAGGAGAAAAACAACTCTAAAAGCTGATCCACTTCAGAATGCTCTAATCTTTAGAGTGATTTACTCTAGAAGTTGAACTATCAATGTAAAAATATCATTTAGGCCCTTGTTCCTTGTCTTGGGGAGAAATTTAAGTTAAATACTCGATAAATGCACCATATGGCTCAAGGTCAGAACTGATGGAGGTGAAGGGAGATACAGTGCTGACCATTTATTTTACTGGAGAACGAACAGGCTGAGATATGGTCATACTTTTCCATTCACAGAATCAGTGTTTAAGACCCAAAAGTCAGTCGCTCAGAAACAAACTGACGTGGAGCTGGAAAGGCAGTCAGACACTTAGTGCAGGGCCCAGAGAAAATATGGATGAAAGGAAACCAGTGGGAGGCCGTGAGTGGGCGCCTGCGCCCCGCAGCCCGTCACCTCGCTCCCCAGGTGTCACCACTTCACCCCAGTCTTCAATTCAAACAGCTTTCTGATCGACATATACTTTATACTAAGAAATGCACATAAATTTAAAGTGAGGAACTCATAGTTTTTAATGTGTCATACATATGTATACATTCATGTAATTACCACCCATATGAAGACACAGGGAATCTCTAAGACACTGCAAGACTCCCTTGCGCTCTTTTCCAGTCAATACTCACCAAAGTTAAATAGTATAGGTTAGTCTTGCCTGTTTTTAAACTTCATCTAAATGGCATAAAAGATTATAATATGTTCTATTATTTGTTGGATTTCTTGTGCTCAACATTACACCTAAGATCCATCTGTATTGTTCAATGTAACAGTACCCCATTCTTTTTTATTTATGTGTGGTATTCTTGGCACACCTCTTAACCTACTCCAACACCCACCGATTCTTTGCTGACACATCTAACCCTTTTTCTAGAGTGTGAGAGTGTCTTTGGCCACAAGAACATCTTGGTGCCCGTCCCGCTCTATCCTCACTCCCCACCAAGACTCAGCAGTGTCAGACAGCTTTCCTCTAGACACACACACCGCTCATGTCTGGTCTGGCTTCTCTATGTGCCTGCAGGGTCAGTGACAGATGTCTCAGCAGTCAGGTACTGTACATGAGAGGCACACACACGCTGTGGACCTGCCCTGTCCTCAGCTCATCACGTACTTTGCTTTAAATGCAAATGAAGTAAATATACAAACACACGTGAAATGCACAGCAAGCTCTGGGGACAGAGTGTGTGTCCATGATGCGCCCAAGTCTTGACTCCTTTGCAGCCGAGGGGCTTAGGCAAGTGACTCAGCCCCTGCGCCGCAGGACCCACGTGGACCCACCTCACGGCCTCGCTGTCCTCCTTGTGCTGCAAGTTCGTGAGCAGCAGAACTTAAAAACGGCAAGTCTGTACAAGTGCCTTAAACATGACAATGTATGAAAGCAAGGGAATCTATGACTTTATATCCTGACACTCTTCACTGGCCGTCACACTGCCTTAGTTTTAAAAGCACCTGACATGCTTATCGACAGGCTGAAATTCCCACAGGGAACATCAGAACCAGAGTCTAATGCTGCCAACAGATACACTGGGAGGCTTACGTGCTCATGCGGAAGCATTTGACCTTCGTGATTCTGCTTGGAGTGTTTCCTCATGGTTCTTCATTACCTTATCTGTCTACTTTTCAAAATGCTTTTATTCACAAAAATGTCCTTGGCTCAAACCCGATAACTCTCTTTGCTGTGTGGTGAGCCCATCCCTTCTCAGGTGACTTCCAAGGCTCTATCTCTAATCCAGACCTCCTCTCCGTATTCGGGACGTTCCTACTTAAATGTCTGTTGTCTATGGTCACCTGGATAGCTCATACCTCATGCTCTACATTCCTAAGTCATGGCTCTCCCACCTCAACGTGACCTTGAACCCTCTGTGCCAGTGCCCGACGACCATTCTGCCAGACACTTCCTCCTCGTCGTCTGTGTTGCATTCAGGCCTGGTGGGTCTACCCTCTGAATTGTTCTTTGAATCCCTATGCAATGGCCACCTTTGGCCTGAGCTCCCCAAATCCTTTCCTCACTGCTTCCCTTATCTCTGGTCTTGTCCCCTTCTGCACTGCAACTAGAGAGACATCTCAGAGATAAATTCACGTGTCACTGCCTCTGTCTCAGCTTAGCCACCCACCCCACAGTCATATTCCAACTTGTTATTATGACTGACTGCACCCACTGTGGTCCCACGCCCCCACCCTTCTGGTCTGCCCCTCGAGTGTGCCCACCTCCTTGCCCCCTTTGCCTGCTTCAATTTCCAGTTAATCATTATAGACACAGCCTTGCACATACCTTTTTTTAATCCTTCTTTTGTTTCATTTAATTAATTAACTCATTAATTAAACTTCAGCAAAGCCATAACCCTTTGCTTGTAAGCTATGGTCAGATCTAGCCCTCTGTCACCTGGACTCACATCTGTGAACCTGAACACATCACTTTGATTTCCCTGATGGCAGGTCTCCAGTGGGTTCTCAATGCTGCCCAGCCTTCACACTCTATTTTCTTCACTAGCCATTCTCAAATTCTCCTAGATAATCATTTCACACTGTTTTTCTCTCTTCAAACTCAAAATACCCTCCACTTTACTTGTGCTCAGTTAAAAAATTCAGAAGAGAACCTGCAGATTGTCATCAGCACATCCATCCGTTGCCAACACCCACACTCCAGCAATCAGCCTTCGGTTCACCAGATGGCCAGTTCCACCTGGTGGCCTGATCCCAGGCCCAAACTCGCACACTGGAGATGGCACTCAAGTACTGTCTGTTGAGTTCACTCAGACTGTTTCCAACCTACTTGGCAAATTCTTGAAAGGTCTTTCCACAGTTGATACCCAGAAGGCTTCTAAAAACAACCCTCTGGGAAATGGTCATTTACTCTTTCACTCAAGCAGCCAAGAGATACATCATGAGTACTATTTAAGAGGTACTGTTTGTTACTGAGGATTCAAAGTAGAGGAGAGCAGTAATTCTTTTAAAGTTAAGGAGAGTGAAAACTAGTATATTGAAAAACAAAATTTAAAAAACCCAAACTAGGCATAAAAGAAAAGGTCCATTTAATTGCAAACTGTATCTGCATACTGCAACTGTTGAATAGATGTCCTGGAGAGAACATGTGAATTTCATTTCATTTTACATACTCATATGCATTTATTTTGTCTTTTTTTACAGTGAATATTAATTATTTTTAAAGGGGATATTGTTAAAAAAAACTATGGAAAGTTCTAAAAACAATGATACAGTTAGAAACTGCACTGTGAGAGAGATACGGATAAACAAAATAAAGATAAAAAGGAGCCTTTGGAACTGTTTAAATACAGAAAAAATAGTTTGAGGGCCTCTGATATGAAGAAAATCGCAGGGCCAGCTTCTGTCCAAAAATCATGGCCCTTAAAGTTCCACAATGACGGGATATAAGACAGCACTTCCCACGAGTTCATTTGGGATTTCATGGAGACTTCTAAACTGCCAGGAGCGCTTGGGGTTAGACGAAAGAAAAGGGACAATCTAATTTGGCTGGTCTAGGAAGAGGGATAAATCAACCAGCCTCTAACTTTCTCGAAGTTCTTCCCTACATTTACAGATAAAATCTGGAGATGCTATATATTTAGTTTAGAATTAGAGAAAGTCTTTGACCTTGAATTTCCAGTAAGGACTAAAGAAAGTCCTAAACTATGTCTCTGATTCGGGATTTTCAGCCAATAGGGCGACTGCTACAGCTGCCTTCTGAATCTTCAGGGATGAAAAGACCCCTGAAACTAAGAGTCAACGATTTATTTTGCATTTATATACTTAATTTATATGTTCATCACAGGCAATATCAGAGTCCACAGTTTGAAATATGTAAAAGAATATACAAACCAAAGACACCACCATTTTTATACCATCCATTTCCTGTGTAGTGTCGGTAGGATTATTTTGCAGTCACTGAGTATTCTGGCGCTCTATACTATTTTAAGAAGATAACAACAGGATAAAATTATCCTCAGGCAGGTGTATATAGTGTACATATTCAAATTAGATGAAATGTGAGCATAACTTTAAGCTCATGATGCAGAGGAAATAAAAAGAAAAACTGTAATAACTGAATGTTATAGGAAAGGCATATTTCCTTATCTGAAAAAGCCACTGTGTGATAGTGCCCGAAGGATCGCAGAGGGCATGCGCGGCAAGTCAGGTGTATTATATGAACCCAGAAGAGCCAGAAAGAGCACAGCAAATAATTAGTGTACAGTCGAAAGTGTATAATGAGAAAATAGTGTCAAAGAGGAGAAGCAAATGAAGACTGGAGCTTTCTTTTGGATATGAACATTTTATCCAAAGTCCAAAATCTGAGAATGGATCAATTTACAGTATGTATCTTTTTTTTTTTACATTTCAATCAGGCAACTTCAAGGATGCAAAATGATCTAGAATCCTATGATCTTGTGTTTTTGGTGAGAATTATTTCTATGAGTGACTGGTTTGTTGAAATCTATACTACTAAAAATCCTTATGCGGGCCCCCAAGCCTCAACTGGATTAAAGGTAAATACTTTTAAAGCTTTACATTTTAGAAAGTAGTATTTATTTTTGTAGTTCCTAATAAAATATAGTAACACAAATTCACAAAGAGGTATAAGTTACACAGTAAGCTACACTAATATTCTATAACAATTATAATCATCATGGTGATTTAATCTCTATTTCCAAATAAAATTTTAGATAAAGCACCTTACCTCATTTCTCATGATTCTCCAAAGACTTAGTGTAATTCGGCCAACGATATTTATCTCACTCATTATATCTGATCCATACTCATCTCTTTCAGCTGCAAATCTATTCTCAAATTTGTCATCTATAGAAATGAATACAGATTACATCAGGACTCACAGAAACCAAATTTCCAAACAAATTATTCCAGAGTATAATAAAAATTAAAGATGAAGATTAAGGATGAAATGGTATTAGAGAATAATCATCATTTGGACTAATAAAACATTATGAATTTTCTGAAATAAACCTCTCTGAAAACTATACACGTATTTTAAATAAAAATGTATATACACATGTATTTAAAAAATAATAAACTCTTTTCTCTTCAAATTTTGTAAATTCTGGTGCTACAGCATGATATGAGGACAAAAAACATTGTTAAACTGGTCATTTTTAAGAAAAAATGGTACAGTTTTTAACCTAAACAATTCACTGAAAACTTATTCACATCAATTAATGATGTTCATTTTCAGGGTGCAAGTCCCTTCACTGTTCATGGAGAACTGGATGAAGAGCCCCTCTCACAGCAAATAGGGTTCAGAGCCTAGTTTCTTAGGTGATTTTACCTAGAGTAGAAATTAAAATGTTTCTTTCTTATGTAACATTGGTATATATGAATGTTGTTGATTACAGGCTCTGGAATAATAAATGTTTACCATATATTGAATGTCTATTATGTTCTAGGAACTTTACTATCACTCTCTCTTTTATTTTAATAAACCCATCTTTTTATGCTAGTATAATTTTCACTGCGCTGTAGTAAATTCTACTCAGAAATGCTGCATCTTGTCCCACATCATAAAGAAACAGAACCATTATTCTAGACCAGGGTTACCTGATTTAAAGATCATGTATACACACCACCCGTGCCCTTCTTTATTTTAAAGTATGTTTAAAAATAATGTAAAAATAATTTAAAATACTGCTTATAAGTTTTTTTCCCCCTACTTAACTAACACTTAGATAATGTTTAATATGTTCTCAGGCACTATTCTAAGTATTTCATAATTTCTTTGAGATAAATTTTATTATTGTCCCCATTTCACAGATGAACAAATTGAAGAATGGACAGGCTACATATGTAACTGGCTTGACATCATATCACCAATTAACAGTACAGCCAGTACTGGAACCCAGGCAGTCTTTTCTCCAGCATATGTCCTCTCTGTTAAATGCTACCTCTCTCACCAGCACTGCTACGCTGTGCTGCCTCACAAAAACGGTTTCAGCATTTTTCTACAAGGACAGGAGTTTTTATTCACACCCTGGTCTGAAGCCATATACCACACCTGTTACAACTAACTAAGAAAGCGCACCTGAACACTCATGCTGTTTCTCCTGAATACTCAGAAACATACACAAATGAAATGTCGAAAAAATTGATATATACCATTATTCCTACCACTCAAGGGACACAAAAGCTACAAAGAATTCATGCAATGAAAAACTAAACCTAAAGTATCTCTGCCTTTTTATTCCAACCTTTTGCAAAGTTCAAAATATTGTCCTTGGGTCTTCTAGCTTCAACCTCTATCTTCAAATTGATCAATACTGAAATCATAACCTCTCCCAGAAGGTCTCGATGAGTTTTTACCAATTTTGTATCTGGTCTTTTAGCTTCCCAAAGTATATGCTACTTTGTCCTTATCACACTTGTGACTTGTGACACAGTTATTAAAAATGTTGTAGTTACAAAGAAAACATAACTTTAAAAAGTGCCTTATAAACTATCATTTTGATATGGATATTATTATTGTCCCCCTCTTCAAATGAAATCAAGACTCTTGGGGAACAGCCTTCAAAATTCATGCAATTTTTTTTAGTCTGATACTCAAATAAAATAAAGTTAGTGTGCCACTAGTATCTCCTTCCTTACCAACCAAAAGAATAAAACAGAGAACCAAGTAAAAAAAAAAATTATGGTACACCAAGTCAAATAAATGCTATGTGCTTCATAATGATTATGAAGACTGCCTCATAACACAGAAAAATACTTAGAAGAAGATGCTAGGTGAAGGAAGCTTAATAAAAATGGGATATATGTATGACTAAAGTGATATAAACAATAAAGACCCACATGTATATATGTAGGTGTATGTAAACAAAAAAATGACTGAAAAAAAAACTCCTAACAAATATTTACAGTATTTACAAATATTTACAGTATATACAGCAGTGAGATTGGGGTATTTTTTGCTTTTACTTTTCTTGATTTTAAAACTTTTCTGTAATAGAGTTATATCTAGAACATATATAACTTAGTACTAAAAATTACCCTAGAACAGTACTAATACCTTGCTTAGTAATTTGCTCTGTAGCTGAACTACAAACACAAAACATTCATGACACTTCATACCTGGCACCCGGGAGATCATCTGACATAAATCAACACTTAAGGCAGCAGCTCTTTGTAAGAGATAACCCCAGGAATGCATCTGAATCTCATATCCTAGCAGAATATCAGGATCATATCTAAAAGAATGAAAAAATTGAACAAAGACCACACATTTGAAACTTTAAGCAGAAGAATTTTCTTCATGACATAAAATAGAGAAATAAAAATCTATAGTCTGTTTCTCAGATGGGGAATGATTACCTACAGAATTTCTATACTGGGAGGAAGGGGGTGATTAGTTTTTGATTTGCAGCTGCTTTTATAAAGCAGCATAGATTTCACTTAGACTATGTATTTATTTGCTGTGACTTAGAAAGAGGCTTATAGAAACTGGGATGGGGCAGGTTTCCAGAGGCCCAGGAGCGGGGCTGGCAGAGAACACACCTGGGCAGGGCAGGCTGAAGTGGGAGGGTTTGTGTGGTCACTGCATTCTAAAAAAGATCCCCAGGGCATCCTGGAGCCACTTCTCTGCCCTTATAACCTGAACCGTCCTTGAACTGTTTCAATGCTGACAAAGAAAATGAAAATGCCTTCCTTTCCCACTTAATTTTGGTGATGACATGAAGCAAGGCCTCAGTAATGACAAGCCTGTCCTCTAAACTTAAGAGGAAGGGGACTCGGTGGCATGTGCAACCTGTCCAGATAATTATCATTTAACACCCGAAGTCCACATTACAGGGTGACATTAATTCACTGGTGTGAGCCATGTAGGGTGACTTTGCAGTCTGTGGTGTAGCGGATCATGAACAGATTACCTGATCTGTTTTGAGAACTGGTTTTGCTATAGCTTATAAGGACATCACAAAAATTTCTCATTTTTAATTCCTGAGGACTTAAGTGGTGGATGTCAAGAGAACTATGTTTAAGCTTCTGTAATAGCATTCTTTTTATTTTTCCTATTCCTTAAAAACTATATGAAAATACATTCTATAATGTAAAGTTAACATCACTATCTGGTGATCTGTTGTGATCTGTTTGTGGTCCAGTTATACCAGACTTACAGAGCAGCCCTCAAATTTGTCAGGAAAATAAGATAATGTACTATTACCATGTGCTTTTCTGTATACAAACAGTTGAAACTTCTGAGGAAATCACTTAACAAACATTTATTAACTAACTTAATAGGACAGCCAAATGGGCCTTTTAAGAACCTACAGAAAAGGGTTTTCTTGGCAGAAGGTGCCACGTGGCTGGTAATCCTGGAGCAAAAACAGGACTGCGGCAAGAGTGTGGAGGGACAAAGCTAGGAAGGCGGCGAGCAGCAGGCAGGCGGATGCCTTGTCACAGGGGCCTGAGGTGAGGAAGGCGGGTGAACCCTAAAGGGTGCCCAGAGGCCCCAGGGCACTCAAGAGAAAAGAAGATCCAACTCATTAGCCGGCCTGATCCTGCTCCGCAGTCCTCGCCGTAACAATCCAATGCCGGAACACACTGCTGCCGAGAGCAGCTTCACCTCTTCCGTTAAGGTTAAACCAGAGCAGTTAAAAGATGAACCATCTGTATGGCACGTGCATCTCCCTGTAAAACTAGGTGATACCTAAATCTGAGGCACTGGGGCAGAAGCATCAAGGCTGTAAGGCCCATCAGGGATGGATTCACGGCCTCCCTTACACGGGAACCCATGGCGCTGACGGCTGCGTTCCCGGAGCAGCTCAGGACAGGCAGTGGTGTGGCCACGGCAGACCTTGATCTTGGGAGAAGAATCTGAAGACTGCTGGAGTTCCCAGCACATTTATTTCCAAGCACAGGTCCATGAAGAGGACGCAGATGATTACACAGCCTTTCTGTTGTAACTCTCGCAAAGACAGCGCTTCTGGTTTCTTCATCTGAATCTCTCTGCTTGGTGAAGTGTCTTGCCACAGACCAGAACTATCATCCCAGGCAGCTACTTGCTCTGCTGGGGCAGCTAATAGAGTTGAATCAGTGTACTTGCTTCTTAGCAGTATTTTGAAAGTGATTTTTTCTTGATTAAAAAGTTACTGATTTTACAAACTGCTACTGTTCAGAAAAATAACAAAGTTACCCTGTGCCTCTCTTAATGGATTTATTAATCATCTTGTGTTTTTTCAGAAGGCTTGTGTCATTGTTTTGGTATTTTTCAGGTATGTGTATTTGTTTTTTGACCTACAGGCCATTTAGTCTTTAGAGACTCTTAAAGCTGATAGAATATCTGTTTAATTTCAAAGTCCCAAGGACTCCATTTCTTCTGGTGATTATAACAAAACCATGGTGAACTGTTCTTCAATTTCTGTGAATTGTATTCACACTACTAGGTTTCTAAAAGTTAGAGAAAGAAGGTTGGGTAGATGGGATTAGTGGTGAAGAAAAACAAAACCAGAGAAAATGGAAGAAGCAGAAACAGAAATATGAAAATAATTTCATTTGCTTAGGCAGAAAAAAGCTGCTTCATGACCTTTATTTTAAATAACCCACTAACACCTGTACAGGTGAGAGATGAGGGGGGTTTAACTAAGGCAGTGGGAGTGGGCATGGGTTGGGGGGAGATGAACTTAACAAGTAATTCTGATGTTAAAAAGAGAGGATGCAAATTGTGAATGCAGGGAAGAGAAAAAGGGAAAAATCAAAGCTTATATTTAAGTTAAGGAGGCTGGGAAAAATATCAAATTATTCAAGGAAATACAGAAAGAAAAATGATTGTGACAAAAAGATAATGGATTTGGTTTTACTTGTTTAGTATCACTTTATACTACTTTTTGTCTTTGCTATCTGAGAAGGTAAATATTAAGAATGAAAAAATAAAGACAATAAAGTTAGAATATGCATCTGTATTTTATTCAGTTTTATATTTAGCGCCTAGCACTGCATCTTACAGAGTTAACATTGAGGTACTACTAAGAGGAAACTAAAGCTTAGACAGATAAGTAACTTGGTCAAGACAATACAGAGCTGGCTGGCTGCAAAGTACTCAAACAGGGGGAATGAAATAATCTTTGAGGAGGTTGCTTGGACTAATATATAAAGGACATAACAGAACTGAAATGTTGATATTTAAGCACTTTTCTTCTCTTTATAATAATATTTTTCTTAATGACTAGTGTTAGTTCATGTTACGGACATTTAAGAAAGTTACTACACTTGCAGGTGACTGATAAAATTCTCAGTGTCAGCAGGTAATCCTGTTGCTGGAATATACCCAACAAGGAGCACATAAATGTGCAAAGTCCAGGGACATTACTGGATGTGTTCTGGCACACAAAATAGTATCAACTGAAACTCTTACATGCTCTTTTTTTGCTAAGTTGCTTGCAGAAATAAAAGTGTGGGCGCCGAAGCATCTGACATGTGATGACAATCTCTGTGAGCAGAGACAAGGCCAGAATGACAATGGCAAAAGCTCAGGTGGATGGGAGTCCACTCAGTCACCAGCGCTGCGGGCAGGACAAATACACTCCTCTTTCCTCCTCCCTGGGGTGCTGGTAGCAGCATACAATTTTTGATGCCCTGACATTTAATTTTGTTGTGTTCAGAACATTTTGTGGTTTTCTAATTTTCACAATGCTTTATGTTAACTTGCTCGGATTAAATCAGATGTTGAGCCTGCAGAGTAACACCCTGATCTTTAGTGCAGAATCTTGTCTCGGTTTTACAGGGAAGAGCTCAACCACAGGAAGCAGGACAGGAACGGCTGAGTGTGGTAAGTGCCCAGGGACAGTTTTTAATCACACATCAGGATCCAAAGGGTATTTTCGGGCTTGCTTTAGACCTTTAAACCTAAACCTAGCAATGAGCCGAAATCTTCAGTTCCTAAAAGAGTGGAGCATTTAATAAGAGAATCCATGGCTACCAAGAGTTTATTCTTGAGAAAATGCGAAAACTTTACTTATTTTTTGTTAAAAAAAATCCTTTTCAAATTTTGACAAGATTCTATTTTCAACTATCAAAACCAATTATCAAATAGTCAAAAGAGATTTTTAAGAAACTATGTGCACAAGAGCATGTACCAGACAGTCCTAAGTTTATGAACAGATTGTATTTCAAAGCTTTTTGGAAATACTGGCTTGTTTAGGACTCAGAAAACGTTTTCTTAAAAAAAAAAAAAAAGGTACTGAAAGGATGGCTGGCCCCCACAGCAGAGAAGCCTATTTCCTATTTAATGAACAATACAACTTAACAAATACAATTTTCCATTATCTCACTACCATATATTAGTCATGCTAAAATACAACTGGGGAACCTAGAGGCTAAGCTAATATTTCTCTTTCACTGGCCCCTCAATCTTGAGAATAGAATATTCTCTTTCCTACTCCTAGTCTGATGGAAAAGGTGACATTGGTGAGAGTAAGGGCACAATCTTTCCAGGGGGGATAACTCTACTTTCAAGGGCCACAGTATCTTTACCTGTATTAATCAGCAATAGCAGGAAAGGACTCTCTGAATGAAAACTGGACAAATCAGAAAATGTAAAATAATACCTCTTTATTATATCTGCAATTTCCTGAAAAAGCGCTTTCTCATCAGCAGCATAGGTAACTTCTAGTCCTGTAATTCCAGATCTTATAAGTAATGGAGTCTTATACCTGATGTCTACAAAATAAACAGAACATTTATATGTAATTGTGTAAATAATAATATCCCTTACTTTTGAATGAAATCATGCTACTGGAATTCCTTAAACAAAGAGAGCATTCCCCAAATATATAAGTAACCCAGTTTTTGAAAATTTCCTTAAAGGGTTTCTAGTTTAATGTGCAACTGAAAATTCAAGTTAAATATTTTCAGTTGTTTTCCTGAAAAGTCTGTATTCACAAAATTCCTCAAAATAACCTGAAATTTTGTCACTTGGAAAGAAATTTGATTACTTTGTTTCTGTCTTTACTCTTTCTATAGGAAGAGCTTTCCTTAGTACACAGTATTTTAATCAGTGGTAGGTTGGAAAATGTTTACAGCCACCTCTCCAGGAAAAAAAAGCTCTGATTTATACTGCTTGCCTACTTCTGTGATGTAAAGACTTCACACCATGGCTGATTTCAAACTGACAAAGTGACATCAATTAGTTCGAAAAATTCATGAAAATTTAGCAATTGGCTCTTGAGCTGGTACCAAGAACCAGCTCAAGAACACCACTGACTAAACTGCAAATTTCTATATGGTTTTGTTCTGTGCTAACTAAGACTTCTTCCTCAGGTGACTGAATTGACACTAGCATTTAAAACCTCAGAGGGACACTTGGCATTTTACAAAATGCCTTACATGGTGTACTATGATGAGCCTCTGAACCAAAAGTATATGTATTCAGGAAGAGATATAAACAAAATCAGAATATATCTTAAAAGTCTCTTAGAAGCCATTGATTTACAGTGGCAAGTTACCCTAAAAGCAAAGAAAAACTCTGTATCAGCAGCAAAATGCCAGCAGTCATACAAAAGGAAGATGTTCTCCCAACCTAGAGACATATAATTATGTGAATTTAGTCTTAACAACTAGTATTGCATAAAATGATATTTAGAACGTAGATATGCCAGTTGGAAACTTTACTGAGATCTGAATATTGTATTGTTTCTGACTTCTGACAATGACTCAAGTAAGAAAATGAACCCAAGACAAAGCTAAACACAACCCTCCCTGCTCCCCACCTCAGCAAACGTTCTAGAAAGGGGTCCCTTATGTTCCCTCAGTTCGAATCTCTGACACACAAACTGCCCCACAGAAGGTTCACCCTAGGGTTTGTGGAGGTGTGAGATCTACAGAAACGCACCGCACCTTGACTGGAGGCTGCCCTGTCTTTGTCGATCACTACGGCGCCCGTGAGCTCCGTTCGGTCTGTGTCCGGCAGCGCGGTGTCAGACGAGACGCAGTAGAACACAGCACAGATAGGATCAAACTCAGGGTCTGGCTCTAAGTCTCGTCTAGTTCGAGCATGTAACTCCACGCTGATGAGGGTAAGATTTTGAATCTATAAAATGAAATGAAAATTACACTTTCAGACATTTTTTGAGACGTGCTGAAGGAAGTACGTTTCATTAAGAATCCAAGGAAATATGTGTGTAAAACTACAGAAAAAATGGCCATAAAAAATATAGTCACAATTTAACACTCTACAGATTAAAACTAAAGATTTTTACTTCTAAGATTAGGTTAAGTCAATTCATGTTTTCTTTTTTAAAGAAAATCTACTTGTGCTATAATTTCTGTGACAATACATACCTAAAAACTTTGTTTTTTAGAATTGCTCTCAATTTTCTCAATTCCTGTTTGAGAAATAGGATGACTAGTCTAAGAGGTCAAACTGAAGCCTTATTTTTTACTTTCTACCTGTAGTTCAAACTGAACAGAGAGAGATCTTTTAGTTTCAAGCTCCTATTAATTCTGTTCATCTGTTAATTCTCTACTACTTGAGAACTACTTAAATTTAGACTTTTGTATATACTGGACAGATTTTTAATTATAGTTCTTCCTGGAAAAAAAAAGTCATGAGAATCACATGGTATCAACTACACAACAGCCTCATTTTCCCTGTGCACATTTTCTCTGATATGTAAGGCAAAACAAAGTAAATTGTGCTTTCTACATTTATTTTCCTATGCTAATAAAAACTTTTCTTAACTAAAACCCTTAATTCTCTTTCTAAAATCAAGACAGAGTAAGTAGAAACTCTGGGCAAGAAGAATACAGGCTGGATTCATGATTACAGCTGGACTTACAGCCATCACTGTACCAGTAACATGCATGTACCTGGTGATGGAAACCAGATTACTGTGACAATATTGGTAATTACTCAAATCATACAAATTTAATAAAGGGTTATCTTTTGTATTTATCTGGAATGCCAACTGTTCAGGAAATGTGAATACAAAGCTCTCACCAGCGACTGCAGAATTGAATAGATCTCTTTGGAGGACAGTTTGGAGCCCAACCAAATTAAAAATGGCCCCATGGCCCCACAGTTCTGCTCTTTAGAGTATATCCTGCAGGTGTACTCATACCTCATACTTGTAGTCAAAATATGTATACGAGGATGCTCACTAAAGATTATATTTTCAGTCTTCTATAAATTATAAAAGACAAAAAACCTAAATGTCTATTAATTGGCAAATGATTACATAAATTATATGGTATCCACATACAATGGAATAATGTGCAAACTAAAATTTTCAGAAGAATGAGCCAGATCTGTATGTCCTAATACAGACCGATCACCACAATACATCAATAAATGGAATCAAAGAATGTAGTATGCATCCATATTCATAAAAATTGTTAAGCACATCCATAGAAAATTTCTGCAAAGAAACATGAAAAACCCAGAACTGCTTATTGTCTTTGGGGAAGGAGACTGCTTAGCAATGAGGTGGGAGGGAAGTTTACTTTTCATTGTAAAACTTTTTATCCTGATTGAATTTTTTTACAAGGTACATGCAAGAACATTAATTACGCATGTAAAGGCATAAGGAATAATAAAACAAATATCTACAGATCCACCACTTTTCTCTAAGAAATATATGTTGCCATTTCCATTTTTAAAAAACCTAATATTAAAAAAAAAATTAAACCAAGTAAAATGGGAAGCCAAGGTAAAAACTTGACTAAAGACGATTTCAGGTCAAAAGAACTTTGGAGGCTGACTTATTTATTAACTAGGCCAAATTCCACTCAAATTTTGCCTTCCTATTCCTTGACATAAAAATGCATTACTGATTTCAAGGGCTCTTTTTTTTTGAAAACAAACATGGAATGAAGAGATGAAGAGAGATTTACTGAGTGTGACTAGGAAAGAGGTAGATGAGAAAGGGGCACAAGGGTTATAACCCTTCTCTTCAGCACTGGGTATGTGCAGAATACAGAGAGATTAGCTCGGCCAATTGGAAATAGAAGAAAAAATGCAATGGGCGCAATTTCATGCAGATTTGTTGGTGTTCGTTCCCCCTCTGACCACCAGGTGGCCCCTTGGCGTGTGCCTGGAGATGAAGAAGTTCATGCTGGGACGAAGCAATGAGCTCCAGGCTGGACCTTCAAGTATTTTAACTTCAGGAAGGCCCAAGATTCTGAAATGGGGTTACATAGGATAAAACAAGAGGGTAAGAACAAGATTACATTTTTCAAATAATAAAAGAACAATCAAATATAACAAGTCTTTTTCTTAAGTCTATCACATTTGCCTTAATAAATATTTTTCAACAAAGTATTTAATTTTCTAATTTTGGGTGTGTACTTGATAAGGTATGTAATCCTAAGTTTGTTATTCCATTTATCTGGGCTTCAGGGTATAGTACAGGGCCAGGTAGGTAAAAGCCTGAAATGAATGAGTACTGTTGAATGAAAAAATGTACAAATAAATACTTATGGAGTGAGGCTATGTTTCAATCTAATTCTTAAAAGAGTATAATTCTGAGTTCAAATTTAGGGTAAAAATGACAATAATTAAATTTTATCTCAGTCTATGCTCATCCAATCCTTAGAACAGTTTAAGACAGAATTGACTTGAGAATAAAAAAACAATAAAAAATCAAAACCTCTGCTCTAAGGGCAAAGACATAGACTGTATAAACCAGCATTGTACAACAAAAATACATCATTAAAGTTGCATATGTTAATTTTCTGGAAATCACATTTTTAAAAAAGTAAAAAATAGGCTAAATTAATTTAAATACACTTCCATTTAATCTAATACATCTACAAACATTACCCTTTCAGTATGTAATATGAAAAATTACTAATGAGATATTTTACATTTTTTTCCTATTAAGTGTTCAAAATCAGTGTGCATTTTACATTTATAGTACATCTCAATATGGATGCTAAATTTTTTATGGAAATACTTGAGCTGTATTTAGATATCGTAAAACTCACTATTAAAAAAGTTTTACAGATCTAAATTGCTCCAAGCAAACTTACAGGTTTTCAATAAATAAATGAGTCAAGTGTCAGTTTTTTTAATTTTAATAAAACTATTAAGCTCTCCAGAGCCACGTTGCTAGTGGCTGCCACACTGATGGCACGAAGAAAGTATACTCTGATTTCCACCTTATTGCCAGTCAGATAGATGCTCTCAGCTGGGCTCTGTGTTAATACAGGTACATTTACAGTGGTCCATTCGCACCATTCTCCAGTCCATCCCGTGACTGGTACACCGTTTTACAGGGTGCCTTCCTCGTCGCTGGCATGGGGTTTGCTGTGCAGGTAACCAGATTACACAGAGTGCAGCAAGCACCAGTCCCCTGAGCCAGCCACACAGAAATACAAGTAAATATCCCATGTGAGATGTGACATAACATTCTAACACAACAGAGACTAACATACTGATTTTCCAATAGTCAAAAAGAAAAACCTAATTTTAGCTTCTGTAAACTGAATTTCAGTTGTAAGATTTGTGAAGCCACAAAGCAGTCTCAGTAACTAATGACTACCATAAAAGTTTCTCTATTTTATGTAGGTCTACGAAAGAGTAAGAATAGTTAAGAACAAAATGAAGATTAGCAGGTAAAGAATTGAGGGTGTTCCTCCCTCCCTGGAACGCTCCCACACTCGCTCCACAGAGCACAGGGACAGTTGAGCCATGGACGCGTTCTCGCCGCTGTTTACCTCATGTAAAGCCTTTGCCTCCTGCAGATTTTGTATGCTGACTTTGAAACCATAAGTATTGTTTAAGGATGGTCCATCAATCTGAGAAGTTTCTTTCTTTGGGGTGTTTACTGCTGCAAATTGATTCTATTAAAAAAACACATAGCCAGAGAAAGATAGATGAGCAATCATTTTCTTTGTTTTGATTACTTATTCCTATCCTACTTGGATTATAATGCTTCATGTGTTTAACAATACATGATAAGCTACTATCATCTCTTGAAGCCCAAGAAGGAACCATTAAGCATTTTATTTAACATTCTCTTCATAGTAATTCAAGATAACAGAACTGGATATACACAGAAATATCTGATATAATCTGCAAGCAAACATACATTGATTCTTGAGATTAAAAACCCCCAATACTGAGAACAGCAGTCCTGTTGGAGGCTGGTGTTTGTACTACGTGGACATCGAGTTCGGTCTTTTTCAGGAGGAGGACAAGCAAGCAATGTATTTGCAACTAGTTTGGCTAAGTTCATAAATGATTTGAAATTCTGAGTTTGTATTTTACCCTAACACAGTCAGTATATGTCTGAAAGATAAATGAAAACATAAATCATCTTCAAGGGTTTAGAAGGAATAACATCTTATTTAAAACATTTTCCCCCCAGTTTCCAAACCCACTGACCATTTCCCCAAAGTGTTTATTTTGATAACACACTTGTACTCTTTTTTAAGATACACAGCTAATTCAGCAGCACTGATATAAAAAGAGAGGTCTTAAGAAAGTATTTATAATCTCAAAACAGAAATACTAAAATATATAATTATAAAGTTAATAATATTAAGGAGTAGTTAATATGGAAGTGATTCCTATTATGTATTTCCAAGGATACGTGTCTAATGTATGTCTTTATATAAATCTTTTCTAAGTTAACTATTACCATATTTTAGTATTTGAATAAAGACATTTATGATATTTAGTAAGTAATGTTGTGTTCCTTTGTCACTCAGTAAAATGAATTGAAAAAAAGCAGTAATGTTGTATTTGAGAAAATTAAGAAATCAAGAAAAAGGATATATTTTTGGTGGGATCAAAAATCACTTACTTGAGCTCTGCTGTCATTGGATTGTTCTGATTTTGCCAGTAATCAGTTAATATATTTGTATCCTCATAATCCACATTTTGGCTATCATATTCACTTTCTCTGTAATATTTGTATTTATATATAAGAATCTTTGAGATCCCAATTACAAAAAAAAAGAAAACTAAGAAAAAATCGGGCAATTTCTTGTCTCAAAGATATGTAAATAAAATGATGCAAAAATATAATAAAAAAAAATTGAGACACAAAGTTATCAATTGTATAACTGAAATCTAAGAATAAGAATGGATCTTTCACTGATCCTTAAGCACATTCATCATATTACCTTTACTGGTGTTAAGAGCACTCTTCTTCTAAGAGTGTCAGTGTTACTTCCTTTCTTATGACTCAATTTCTGGGTTTTTGGTTCTGTAGAAAGAAATTTCAAATTTAACAAGTACATCAAAATTGACTGCTTCTGTTCTTTTTTTAAATTTTTGTTGTTCCAAACTCTTAAGTACCATTTGTGAGTACTGTCCTGTAAATCCCCCCAAAGACTTCAAAATTTTTAAATGAAACTAATTTAAACCTATGATCCCCACCAAACTAACTTTAAAATTTCATATTTTTAAATAAAAACATTTAGATTTTAATTACTGAGTTTTATACTTCACTTATTAACTAAGGGAATCATTTAATTCATTTACTCACTTATTAATCACAGATTTATGATGATGAAAGAATTGATACAGTTTCTAACTTTTGGGGTCTAGAGAAAAAAATTAGACACTGCTCAAACACATACAGAAAAATGAAATTATAACTGGGGTAAGTATAACAAAGGGGAATAGGGAATTTTTATCAAGTCAGGGAGATTAGGAAGGCTGTAGATGGAATGGGAAGAGCAGTCATTAGGAACGGAGTGGAGACCTTCCCAGATTACTGAGCAAAGAAATGGAGACTGCTTAGGGTGGATAAGAAGGTCCAGGCAGGCTGCGGAGAACTAATCAGCTGGGTGTGAAGCTGTGGTGATGGATGCAGAGGCAGAGATCTGGGGATTTCAGGAACCAAAAATCGACAGTACTTGGTAAAGGACTGGAAACCACAGGACGGGCAGTGAGGAAATCAGGTGTCTGTCACAAATAAATCCCATTTCTTACCTGTGCAAACTCAGTGACAGAGTTGGTGGCACTATTCACTAAGGACAGCTAAAGAGGACCAGATGGCTTCTACGTGTGGCATGCACGTGTGTGTGAGTGTGTGGGTGGCTGTTGGTTGAATGGACAGTGAGGTCACTGAGCTGGAAAAATACTGACCATGTGGTGCTTTTCAGCATTTAGGCAGCTTGATAAAGTGCTCTGGAGCTTAAAAAAGAGTTCTGAACCAGTAACGTAAACTTACGAGTTATCTGTAGTAATCCTGAGGGCAGGAATTAGACCCTTTAGGGACAGAAAAAGAGTGAAAAAGGCTTAAGGTGAAGCATCAATAAACCAACATGTACATAATAACTAAGAATGAAAGACAAGCTCCAAAGGACAGCAAGCAGGAAGGAACGCGGAACAGGAGAAAGCGGGGTGAGAAGCGGCTCCAAGGAGGATGGTGTGTCCGCCGGATACTGGCTGTCACAGGGGCATGCGACAGAGGCTGGAGCTGCCCGAGAGCTACTCTGCTGGGATGGCGGGGGTGGAATACAGCCTAAAATGGGCTGAGAAATGTGCAGGAGGTGAAGCATGGAGCTGCCCAGTTAGAGAAACCTTAATGAAATCTGGCTTTGAAGGAGGGAGAAAGAACAGATGTCAGGTCAAGGCAGTGTTTGGTTTTCTTTGTTTTAATGGATGGGAGAGACTTGGGTGTATCTTAAAGCCAGGAGGGAAATCAGGTAGAAGAAAGTAAGGTTTCTGAGGGCATTCCCATACTTGACCCAGAAGGTAAGACAGGGCGGAAGCAGATAGAAGTAGATTCCACAGCAGACAGATAAAAAAGTTTCCATGTTGAAAGACAAGTACCAAATGATTTCACTCATATGTGGAGTATAAGAACAAAAGAAAACTGAAGGAACAAAACAGCAGTAGAATCACAGAACCCAGGAATGGACTAACAGTTACCAAAGGGAGAGGGACTGGGGAGGATGGGTGGGAAGGGAGGGATAAGGGGGTGGGGAAAGAAAGGGGGCATTTCAGTTAACATGTATAGTGTGTGTGGGGGCACGGGGAGGGCTCTGCAACACAGAGAAGACAAGTAGTGATTTTACAGCATCATACTATGTTGATGGACAGTGACTGTGAAGGGGTATGTGGGGGGACTTGGTGAAGGGGGGAGCCTAGTAAACATAATGTCCTTCATGTAATTGTAGATTAATGATACCAAAATAAAACTAATAAAAAAAAAGTTTCCATGTTATGCTGTCTTTCCAAGACATAAAATGAATAATCTCTCATTAGCTGAGCTAAAATCTCATGTAAAAAGCTCTCATTTTCATTACATAGTCAAATGCGGTTTTGGTTTCTAATCTTTGAAGAGCAATTAGGGGGCCTTGGTTATGTGTGAGCTCCCCACCTGCTGATAATGGGCTAAGGCTGGCGGTCTCAGGAGGCCTTTCCACAGGTCTTCTCTGCGGGATGGGTGTGCTGTGAAGGCGGAGGGCCTCGCACGCCCTGGTTCTCGCCCTGACGTTGATGGGAGACATCACCGGAGGCTCCGGAGGCTCACTGCAGGGGCTTTTCTGCGTTCCACCTTTTACCAGCTGTAACGGGTTCTCAGTGGTCAGGGAATGCAGTTCCTCCACCGGGGACGGAAGGCTGCCACCTCCATTTAATGTTTTGGAATTTGGGGATGTTACTTGTTGCCAAGGGGGAATTACTGGAGAATCCGGGGAGCTGTAACTAACATAATAGGCATCGCCATCTTCTTCTTTCTCAGGGTCATTTGAAGAAAGAGCCGGTGGCAGCGCCTGACCTTCACTTACAGTTCCACTGCATCCTCCTGTAGATGGTGCCTGGAAAGAAATCTGAGAATCACCAGCATCTTCCTTGGCATATGCCATAGTGGGGAGCATGTGTGGAGCTGTACCCGCTTTTGGAGGCACTACAGGTTGGTCGTCTGGGTTAACTGAGGAGGTGAAGTTCTCAGCAGACATTTCAACCGCAGCCAGCTCAATCTTGGACAGTTTCTTGGAGCGCTCATATTCTTTGGCTTGAAGCCATGCTTGAACCAGTTGTCGACTTGGGGCACATTTGCAAGGCATGATCACAATTTTTTTATCTTCAACCATTTTATGGCTAATACTTGACCCTTTATTGACAACTGGTTGGCCATTGCGAAGGGGGGATCCTGGTCTTGGATTCTGAGTCATAGCTGAGAATGCTGTTTTCCACAGACAAAGTCCTTCCAAGGAAAAGTCTCCTTCAAACTCAGCCAGATTATTTGGAAGTCGAGTTTCTACCATGAGAAGCCGTCCACCAATCTCCCTATAAACAACAAATTTTAGAACAACTGCTTTGTTTCAAAGAGCAATTACCAAAATATTTAGCCCCCTATCCTAGAAATTTTTAAAGTTTTCTTTGGATTCTTAAAAATTCCCACCCCTTTTTTCCCTTTCAACAATGGTCCCCAACACATATGCAGGTACACTCTACTGTTAGTCTCATAGAGATGCCTACTACATTAATTTCCTTTGGAAGGGCATCATTGACATCAGGGAAAGAAGGCCTTTTTTTTGTTTTGAGTGCCCTACGGTGTCTTCTTCTAATCAAGGAGATGGCACAAACTCATTGGATTCCTTTTCTCTACTCATGTTGACTAACTTTCACTGTTATCACATATGAATATAAAAACAATGAAATAATTTATCATCAGAGACTATATACCTAGATTTGATCTATAGTCTCTTTCTCTATATTCTGCATTCTCTGGTACTTACAGTAGGTCAGCAAAGAAGGATGGTTCAAACAAATCTTTGTACTCCCCCCAATTCCCTCAAACATTAAAAAAAAATCACACACAATTGAGGAAAATCACAATTCTTTCTCCACCGTATACAGCAGTTTAACTCTAATCTAAGAATTGAGGAGTGGGCAGAACCCACAAATGCATGGCTAAAATGCTACTCACGTATGTGTGCGTGGTGAGTGTGTGCACACGCGCATGTGTGTGGGCAGTGAGCCACTAATTAAAGAGTGGCCTGATTTAGTGTTTATTAGGCATAAACATTGAGCTAAACCTCTCTCTCTAACATGTAACCACCGGGACTATTTTCGCTTTCCGGAACAACATGAAGTAAGTCTTCTTCCTTTATGATTTTTCTTTCACGGATAAGAAGCCATTTCATAGTTTTCCCAGTCACTAGGGCACGATTTCCCAAGTGTCCTGGCAATTCTCTAAATAAAACTCAGTGAACTGGGTTCATGTTTTCTGATTTGAAGCTGCAGAAGGTACATCAGTTCCTTTTCCCCTTTGCACAGGAAGATTTTGGTCCCAAGCAGTTAATTTCATAACCAGAATGTGGTACCTTCCCTGCACCCACCTCCCAGTTGTACAAGGAATTAGAATTATTGCTTCTGACGGAAATAAGTATGCATGTCATGTGACTATATCAAACTCTAATATTAATGATAGAGACCATACTGAAGTAAAAAAATAACAAAAACCAGTGAGGTGTGGTAAACTGACCTTTCTTGAATATTATTTGCAACAGGGTAACTGCCATAACTCATGTCATAATATGTATCAAGAGTCTTAAATTTTTCAGTAATTCTATTTCTAGGGCTGTGAGAAAAAACTCCAAGATACAAGAAATTCTTTATGAAGAACATAATTACCTACAGTGGTAAAACAGGGAACAACCTTTCTGTCCAATAATATATTGGACAGAATATTATGCAGCCATTTAAATATTTCAAGAAGCTCGTAAATTTAGAAAATGTTCATAGTACTAATAAATCCAGATACAATGCTATGGCTATAGTAAGGTCACATTTCATAAAACAAAATAAAACTGCATTAAAGACTAAGAAAACATCAAAATATTAATTTTAGTGGTTGTCGCTAGGAAGAGAAATGGCACGATTTTTATTTCTCTTCCTTTATATTTCCAATTGTAAATAGTTTCATATGAAAATTATTTTTCAAAAATGATGACTATCATCCTTTCATTTCAGCTGCAAGACAAGTGTCAAAGTTGGACAATTAACATCAATGCAGAGTTAATGACTAGCATGTGATTAAGTAAGAAAAAAACGTAAAAGGCTGAGGTAGAAAAAACAGTTCTGTTAAAAAATAACCGTAATAACCTCTGATAAAGTCAAAGCTCCCAAATAATGGAAACTAGTATCTAAGGAACAGATATGCATATATTCTAGCAGTGAAATTAAGAATCCCATTCATGTTAGAAGACCAAATGTGGATACTAAACACAACACACAGAACTCTAGGCTGTGCTGGCTGGAAGGGAGAGAGGGAATTTCCTGCCCTTCACTCAAGTCCTCAGAAGAGGGAACTTCTACCAGCTATTTCGGATCGCTTTCTCTCACTCCCTTCCTAAATGGGCTCCTGCAGAAATTACTGCTAATCTGCTGGGCAAAAGCCTGGTATGCATTGTGTCCTTTTATTCGTTTCAAGAGCACGGGGCTGCTAATGGTCAATGTGCACAGGCAGTGTGGCCTCTTCATATCTCTCTCCATCACTCAGACTATGCAGCGTCTGTCTAGCTGTCCTAGCCAACCTCCACTGCTTCTGAATGGATGGCTGAAACGACTGCCTCTCTCTGCAACAGGTTAGGCAAGTGGGGGGCAGGACCAAGCACCACCACTCACACCTCCTAGATTAAGTTGAGCTCCCTATTTAGCACTTGCCAGGTGTGTTTAACCTTGGTGATGTGGGTGGTACAGGGTACCTACTTAACTACTAGCTAATAGATAAACCAGAACTGTGATTCCTTCCCATTTTGCTATTGGCTGTGTGTGCACCTGTGTGTGTATACCTATCTCTATTTACCACTTCTCTGAAAAGATCCTTAGAAGAAAGAAGAGCTAATGGGAACCAAAGTCCATCTTGCACCCCTAATAACTGTATGAACTAACAACAGTAGCAGTATGATTAAAGATGTTGGTAACATGAAAAGAAAGTCGTATATGATAAAACAACTTTAAATAATCTTCATTTAGCAGTATCATAAAGGTACTTAAAATAGGGGTATACTCATTTTTAAACTCATCAAAAATTATAAAAATTTACCATCTTAGGAATAAATACCAATTAAAAATGGTAACTATAGTACTTTGAAAGCATTATGACTTGCTTCTTAACTTAGCCCCATGTGTGCGTGGTGAGTGTGTGCACACGCGCATGTGTGTGGGCAGTGAGCCACTAATTAAAGAGTGGCCTGATTTAGTGTTTATTAGGCATAAACATTGAGCTAAACCTCTCTCTCTAACATGTAACCACCGGGACTATTTTCGCTTTCCGGAACAACATGAAGTAAGTCTTCTTCCTTTATGATTTTTCTTTCACGGATAAGAAGCCATTTCATAGTTTTCCCAGTCACTAGGGCACGATTTCCCAAGTGTCCTGGCAATTCTCTAAATAAAACTCAGTGAACTGGGTTCATGTTTTCTGATTTGAAGCTGCAGAAGGTACATCAGTTCCTTTTCCCCTTTGCACAGGAAGATTTTGGTCCCAAGCAGTTAATTTCATAACCAGAATGTGGTACCTTCCCTGCACCCACCTCCCAGTTGTACAAGGAATTAGAATTATTGCTTCTGACGGAAATAAGTATGCATGTCATGTGACTATATCAAACTCTAATATTAATGATAGAGACCATACTGAAGTAAAAAAATAACAAAAACCAGTGAGGTGTGGTAAACTGACCTTTCTTGAATATTATTTGCAACAGGGTAACTGCCATAACTCATGTCATAATATGTATCAAGAGTCTTAAATTTTTCAGTAATTCTATTTCTAGGGCTGTGAGAAAAAACTCCAAGATACAAGAAATTCTTTATGAAGAACATAATTACCTACAGTGGTAAAACAGGGAACAACCTTTCTGTCCAATAATATATTGGACAGAATATTATGCAGCCATTTAAATATTTCAAGAAGCTCGTAAATTTAGAAAATGTTCATAGTACTAATAAATCCAGATACAATGCTATGGCTATAGTAAGGTCACATTTCATAAAACAAAATAAAACTGCATTAAAGACTAAGAAAACATCAAAATATTAATTTTAGTGGTTGTCGCTAGGAAGAGAAATGGCACGATTTTTATTTCTCTTCCTTTATATTTCCAATTGTAAATAGTTTCATATGAAAATTATTTTTCAAAAATGATGACTATCATCCTTTCATTTCAGCTGCAAGACAAGTGTCAAAGTTGGACAATTAACATCAATGCAGAGTTAATGACTAGCATGTGATTAAGTAAGAAAAAAACGTAAAAGGCTGAGGTAGAAAAAACAGTTCTGTTAAAAAATAACCGTAATAACCTCTGATAAAGTCAAAGCTCCCAAATAATGGAAACTAGTATCTAAGGAACAGATATGCATATATTCTAGCAGTGAAATTAAGAATCCCATTCATGTTAGAAGACCAAATGTGGATACTAAACACAACACACAGAACTCTAGGCTGTGCTGGCTGGAAGGGAGAGAGGGAATTTCCTGCCCTTCACTCAAGTCCTCAGAAGAGGGAACTTCTACCAGCTATTTCGGATCGCTTTCTCTCACTCCCTTCCTAAATGGGCTCCTGCAGAAATTACTGCTAATCTGCTGGGCAAAAGCCTGGTATGCATTGTGTCCTTTTATTCGTTTCAAGAGCACGGGGCTGCTAATGGTCAATGTGCACAGGCAGTGTGGCCTCTTCATATCTCTCTCCATCACTCAGACTATGCAGCGTCTGTCTAGCTGTCCTAGCCAACCTCCACTGCTTCTGAATGGATGGCTGAAACGACTGCCTCTCTCTGCAACAGGTTAGGCAAGTGGGGGGCAGGACCAAGCACCACCACTCACACCTCCTAGATTAAGTTGAGCTCCCTATTTAGCACTTGCCAGGTGTGTTTAACCTTGGTGATGTGGGTGGTACAGGGTACCTACTTAACTACTAGCTAATAGATAAACCAGAACTGTGATTCCTTCCCATTTTGCTATTGGCTGTGTGTGCACCTGTGTGTGTATACCTATCTCTATTTACCACTTCTCTGAAAAGATCCTTAGAAGAAAGAAGAGCTAATGGGAACCAAAGTCCATCTTGCACCCCTAATAACTGTATGAACTAACAACAGTAGCAGTATGATTAAAGATGTTGGTAACATGAAAAGAAAGTCGTATATGATAAAACAACTTTAAATAATCTTCATTTAGCAGTATCATAAAGGTACTTAAAATAGGGGTATACTCATTTTTAAACTCATCAAAAATTATAAAAATTTACCATCTTAGGAATAAATACCAATTAAAAATGGTAACTATAGTACTTTGAAAGCATTATGACTTGCTTCTTAACTTAGCCCCATGTCCCGCGAGCCTCTGCACCTCTAATCCTCAGTGTGGCCCTAATACTTGACAGGCGATCCAGGACCAACACTCGCCGACTTCCACTTCTCTCGACAGAACCATCGGCTAGTTTGGGAATTCTCTTAAGAAGTCCATGACTATGATGTGCTTACAAATACACATCATGGCCAGAAAACGACTAGTTGGGCACCAAGTGCTCTGACACTGTGCTCACTCGGTGACCCGGGGGGAGAAAGCAGTGCTGGTTACCTGGGCTTTTCCGGCACATCCGAAGGATTGCTGCAGAAGGGTTCCTGGTAAGTGGTTTCTGAAAGGTCATGATCCAATAAAGTTGCCATAATTTCTTCCCTACTTGGTGGGGACATAAGTGGTTTCAGAATGTGAGCAGTTCGAGGGGTGAAACTGCCATTTTTGGATTGTGAGGGAGAGCTCGTGGACCTCGGTGAGCTGTCGGGGGTCGGTGTCAGCATGTCGTTATTCCTCGAAGCGTACAGTTCTAAGTCTTCAGAGGCCGCGTCCGCAAGTTCGCCGTCAGGGGAGGGCAGCCTCGTGGTGCAAGAGGCACTGCCTGTGTCGAGGGGCTGCCCCGCACCCTTCCTGGCACGGCCCGGAATCCAGCCGGAGTGGCCTGGCTGCGAGAGGCTCAGAAACACCTCCTTACTCACCGAGCTCCCGCTCAGTCTGGGCTTTTCGTTTGAACAGTCCTCTGCCTGCTGGACACAGAAAGAATCCATCAACGAATTAGACCGGGTGGTCAGAGAGTGAAAGCTGCTTTCCCACTGGTCGTGGCAGCGACTGTCGCTGCCGTCAAAGAGCTCGGGACTGGCGGTGCTGGGTCCTACCCAAGAGGCTGAGGCGCGGCGCCGGGCATCACCACACTTCTGGTCATCGTGATTTAAAAACTCAGGCTTTTCTATCGTCTGTCCTGGGAAAGGATCCTGAGCTGCATCACTCAAGAACTTCTGCGGCAGATTCTGATCAGCTGGGATGAACTGACTTCCAGAATAGAAGCTACAAAATCCAGTTTGACCTATTGTATTAATATCAAAATTATAATTATGTTCGGGAGACAAGCTATCTTCAAGTGAGTAACAACTTTCAAAACCTGGATCTGAAAAAAAGATGGGACTGTCATCTGACGCGGAGTTATCCACTTGGCCAGAGTTTTGTAAATTTAGAGAGTCTACTTTACGAAGTTTGGGAATTTTCTCTTTAGCTTTTGTACTTCTGGGAGTTCGAGGTTTTCTTGGAGATGTTACTGGTCGTGTTCGTTTAATTGTTCTGTTATGCTCAAGGGAATCAGAAATATTTTTGTTTGGTTGCTGCTTACTAGATAATGGGTCTTGCATAATATTTGCATTTTGTGCTTTCTGCTGTCTTTTCTGTAACAATTCTTTTAGAACTGCCAGTCCAGACTGTCCTTCACCAAATGCTGAAGGTGCTGGCACAGTTCGATTTTTACACTGAGAAAGTGCTTTGGTTTGTGAAATGGCTTCTGACAGTGCCCTCTCTTTTATCCCTTCAGATTTAAAATTTGACATATCTAAAACAAAGCCCCTTTGTTTTTGCCCCCATGCGATCCGTTTGATCGGGCTTCTCCAGGAAGTCACAGGGCAGCTGTCAGATGTCTGGCTCTCGTCCGCTGCTGCACTTCCGGGAGGACAGGCCTCGCTGGGCTTCGGAGGCTCTGCCATGCACACAGGCTGCTGCTGACTTTCTCTGCAGTGCAAAAAACCAGGGGCACACGTCTGGTCTGGCTGTGGGTCTACGGGATTATGATATTCACTTAATTTTCCGAAAGATGACAAGTAGTTTTTTTGTATATTTGCACTATCTTCTGTCTTTGGAGACATTATACCTGGAGATGTCTGTGTATTCTGTGCTACCTGAGACAAACGGTTGGAAAGGTCGAATATATTTTTTTGAATTAAGGTTGATTCCTTCAGAGTAAACATAGCACTTTGATTATGAGACCTCTGAACGTTAACTTTGGAGATTCCAGGTCCCAAAGAGCTACAAACAACCGATGAATACACATTATCTCGTGAACTGGGGAATGTCTGCACACCTCCAGGCTTCTTGCTTTCTAAGAAAGAAGAAAAGCAGCCAGGTGAATTCTGTTGTGCATGGACTCCAGTGGGCAGTGGGGCAGACAGGGGAGGCCCCACAGCAGAGCCTGCTGGTGACACCTCTCTCTGTTTGAATAGCAGTGGAGAGCCTCCAGCACGCCTGGGGGACTCAGACACATGCTGATATTTCAGCACAGGCTGAGATTTTACCTTTTCATCCTTAAACGTTATGTGCTTTCTTGGCGTACCTTTCCCATTTGTTTTCTGTTTCTGTTTCGCTCGCGGTCTCTTTTTCCCATCATCTACTAGTTTATTTGTCTGATTTCGTTTGTTCCTTTTCTTGGTAACTACAGGGGGATTAACAAGCTTCGTCTTTGATTTCTTAGCCTGTGCTCTTGCTCGTCTATTTTTTTCTATACGAGAATTAACGGTCTTGCTACTATGTGCATTAAGACCCTTAAAAAGCGTCACTTGTTTATCTGCAGCAGCCATAATTTCTTCAGCTCTTGGATCTGTGGGAGACCAGCAGCGAGGTGGAGAAGAATTTATGGGACTTGTGCTTCTCTCAGAAAGAAAACCTAGTTTAGACATAACATCACTGTAATTCAAGTCACAGTCTTCGGTTTCAGCACTGTAAGATGGTGATGGGGGTGAAAGAACAGCATGGGACCGTTTTTTCCTGAAAGACAAAGGTCTTTTAATACTCTCACTATTTGTCCTTTGTTGCTTACCAGTTTTTTTCTTAGCAGACTTATGTTTTGATTTTCTTCTGTGACTTTTCTTTGGTGTTAGTGGATAAATGGGGTATTTGGTTGCAGGGGAGTCAGGAACTTTTGGCCAAAAATTCTTCAAAGGTGCAAGCTTTTTATACAATTCCATTTTTTCTTCTGTTAATATTACTTGTTTTTCTTTAGAGTCTATTTTTCCTAGCTTCACAAGCATATTTTTTCTCCCTCTAAATCTATTAATAATAATATACTTTATGATGACAGGGGGCAGCTTTTTAGACATTTTTCTTCGTTTTCGAGATTTGAGATTTCCACCTATACTTCCACCAATTTCCGTGGGATGAGGTAGGCTGATTTTTGTGTTGTGTGTTACAAAACCTGACTCACTATCCTCAGTCTCATAATTCACCTTGCGTTTGGCTCTAAGCGTGTACTTGTTTCCATACAACCCAAAGGTCTGCTCAGTGTCTAATGTCCCATCTCCAAAGCGGCACTCTATAAAACTGTCCATAGGTGTTTTATTTTCAAAAGCTCCACGAGTGACTTTAATCACATCACTGGCCAATGTGCCATCCTTCTCAGGGTGACTGTGACAAGGATGACTTTGCACACAGTTCTCTTTTGTGGGTCCAGTCTCACTAGTTTTGGTAGAAGTCTCCTGGTGAACTATACATTTCTTCCTGTTCATTTTTAACCGGGGCTGCCTATTGCTGGGGTGTAGTTTGTATGTGACAGGGGAGAGTTTCTGTGGCCTACTGAGACAGTTAGAGAGAACAACACTGGGGAAAAACATATAATGTGCTGCTTGCTGGCTGAGGCTTGGCTTTTCTGTTTTATGTTCTTGAAATCCTTCATATCTAATTTTAAGCTTATTGAGTCCACTTTCATCAGCAATGCTATCAAGAGAATGTACCACAGTTCTTTTCTCCCCTGAGCATGACAGCAGCTCACAGTTTTCAGTCAATGATGAAGGGAACAAGCTATTCATAGCTGTGCTGTGTCTTTTTTCACTTCCTTCAGAGGTTGATTTGCTTTTTGAATGACATGAGTCAGTAAAGTTGAAAGAATTTTTGCTCAATGTACTTTCGCTAGTGTGACGGTTCATATGTTTAAAAGGGGCATCTTTATCAATTTTTCTAATGTTTGTATACTTTCTACTTGGTACTTGTCTTGTAACGGATGGAGTATCTTCTTCATAATCAAAAATACTACTTTCACAGGAAGATACTGGGAGGATATCTTTCTTGCTACTTTCTTTTTGAGAGTTTTCTGAATGGACAGTGCTGCTTACAGATCCAGGGTATTTCATAGAGTAAGTGCTTTCACTTGTAAAAGCAGGAGCTGAATGATCCAGACCTTTTTCCTTGTTGTGTGGTTGTGAAAGGTCTTCAATTAAATCTTCCTTGTTCAAAACATGGGAAGAAAGGGCACTTGTGTGTTTGCACTGAAAGGTGATCTTAGCTGAAGATGGGGGCTCTAATGTAGCAGCATCTTTGTGAAAGATCGAAGGTTTTACAGACAGCTTGCTGGCTGCGATCACAGAAGAGTGGGTTCTGGAATTTTCGTTGTTCAGTGGATTGTCTGAAACAGAAGAAAAAGATTTCATTTCCACTCTTTCAATTTTTAGAATGTCTTCCCATACCATAATACCATCACCATGAAAGAAACATGAAATTAAGTTTGTAAGTTTAAAATGGTAATCTCAAAAAAAGGGTACTCCTATCACAAGAGTAATTACTCAATCTAAATAGTCAAGAGTAGTTACATTGATGATTAGTCATTATTTTAAACACACATTCCTTTGATTAGAAACATATTATATTAATATCCAGTGACTTTTGGGGGAATAAGGGAAAAATACAGTCACCTAAAAATTTTTCATAAAATAATGTGCTTTTCATTACTACTTCAAATAAGCTGAGCATATTTCTTATAGTTTCCTATGCTACACAGATGTTAACAGGATAAGCTGATTAAAATTTATAAGCTTTAGGGGAGAGCCAAGATGGCCACGTGAGTAGCGCAGCAGAAATCTCCTCCCAAAACCACATATATCTATGAAAATATAACAAAGACAACTCTTCCTAAAATAGAGACCAGAGGACACAGGACAACATCCAGACCACATCCACACCTGCAAGAACCCAGAGCCTCGGGAAGGGGCAGCTGAAGCCAGGTCACGCCCACAGCAACAGCGGAGATAAACCCCATAGCAGCCGGGCAGGAAGCAGAAGCCCTGTCTGCGCGCAGCTGCCCAGCACAAGCCACTAGAGGTCGCTGCTCTCCCAGGAGAGGAAGGCCACAAACCAACAAGAAGGGAAGCTCTCCCAGCCGTCACTGGTACCAGCTCTGCAAACTATCTCTATCACCATGAAAAGACAAACTTACAGGCAGACAAAGATCACAGAGTCAACACCTGAGAAGGAGACAGACCTAACCAGTCTTCCTGAAAAAGAATTCAAAATAAAAATCATGAACATGCTGACGGAGATGCAGAGAAAAATGCAAGAGCAATGGGATGAAGTCCGGAGGGAGATCACAGATGTCAGGAAGGAGATCACAGAAGTGAAACAAACCCTGGAAGGATTTATAAGCAGAATGGATAAGA